GGTGGAGCTTTTTTCTTTTTTGATAGGCAGGCGTCTAAATGCGTTTGACCACAGAACTTTACAGTCTGACAGTGGCTTCTTAAGGGCCGACATTGCTCAAGATCCACTTCCTCACGGCGAGCTGTGTGGCACTTGTTCTTCACGTCCTTCTTGGCTCTGCACTTCTTGTAGGAGCAAAGCTGCTTCACTGCGCTGCCTTTTTTGCGAGCAGGCCCCCGTGCCATTGGTAGACTTTCTCACGCTATTTCCCTTCTACGGGCAGTTCAACATGTCAGAGCCGAAATTTCAAAAAACCAAACAAGACTTGCAGGCAGACTTCCCACGAAAGTCTTGTTTTTCGAGCCGCCCTTACACACGAAAGCCTTTCTGAGAACGCTTCCGGAAAAGGGCGGTTTCAGAAGCGCCCCTTCTGAATCCTTACTGCTGGATGGGGCATGCCACCGAAACCAGCGTAAGTCATTGTGGGCGCCGGGCGGGGCAAGCCACCGAACCCGCAAGCGCACACCGCAACAAGCATATCTGCTCTGCAAAAACACATCTATCCGCTTGAAAAAAATGATCCGGGCGGGGCAAGCCACCGAACCCGCAAGCGCACACCGCAACAAGCACATCTGCTCTGCAAAAACACATCTATCCGCTTGAAAAAAATGATCCGCAAGAAACATACGACTTGGGCGGCTCTTGCGTCGCATCACGCATGTCCGTTCGTCAGCTCACAGCTTTCCTGTGAGACTCTTTTGCCCTGAGACGCCTTCCCTCTTGCTTGCAGAAGGCGTAGGGGCCGGGCGGGGCAAGCCACCGAACCCGCAAGCACAAGCACATGCAACAACTTCAATCGTTGGCGGGCTTCACTTTGGAGGAAGGGGGAGCTGGGCACCCTATTGCTGGATGGGGCATGCCGCCAAAACCAGCGAAAGGATTTGTTTAAGGGGGCCGGGCGGGGCAAGCCACCGAACCCGCGCAAGCAAACGCAACAACGTCAATCATTGATGGGCTTGGGAGGAGGGGGGGTGGGGCGGGGCAAGCCACCGAGCCCTCAATCAACAAACGAGATGAAAAAAACAATTCCGTTCCGACTCTCCGAAGGCGAGCAGCCAGCGAAAAACGATGCTGCAGGAATCAAGCCTTTCGCAACAATGGGCACACAGGCGCATTATTATTGTCCCGTCCTGCCCCCCCCCCCCTTCCCACCGAAAAACAACTTGAAACCCAAACAATTAACTTCTCTAAAGTCAACCTCAGCGACATAAATCGAGCAACAAATGCCCGCGAAAAACTGGAAAAATGCAAAATGCAAAAAAAAACTTTAAAAACATGAACAATTGCCAGTTCAGACGAGCGTCCACCGCGCCAGTCTCGCTCGCGGGCGGTTTCCGCTTGTCACGAGCGTCCACCGCGCCAGTCTCGCAAACCGCCCGCGAGCGAGACTGGCGCGGTGGACGCTCGTGACACGCGGAAACCGCCCGCGAGCGAGACTGGCGCGGTGGACGCTCGTGACATGCGGAAACCGCCCGCGAGCGAGACTGGCGCGGTGGACGCTCGTGACATGCGGAAACCGCCCGCGAGCGAGACTGGCGCGGTGGACGCTCGTGACAGGCGGAAACCGCCCGCGAGCGAGACTGGCGCGGCGGACGCTCGTGACAGGCGGAAACCGCCCGCGAGCGGGACTGGCGCGGTGGACGCTCGTGACATGCGGAAACCGCCCGCGAGCGAGACTGGCACGGTGGACGCTCGTGACAGGCGGAAACCGCCCGCGAGCGAGACTGGCGCGGCGGACGCTTGTGACATGGGGAAACCGCCCGCGAGCGAGAGTGGACGCTCGCCCCGAGCGAGACTGGCGCGGGGGACGCTCGTGACACGCGGAAACCGGCGCGGTGGAGGCTCGTGACATGCGGAAACCGCCCGCGAGCGAGACTGGCGCGGTGGACGCTCGTGACATGCGGAAACCGCCCGCGAGCGAGACTGGCGCGGTGGACGCTCGTGACATGCGGAAACCGCCTGCGAGCGAGACTGGCGCGGTGGACACTCGTGCAAGGCGGAAACCGCCCGCGAGCGAGACTGGCGCGGTGGACGCTCGTGACATGCGGAAACCGCCCGCGAGCGAGACTGGCGCAGCGGACGCTCGTGACATGCGGAAACCGCCCGCGAGCGAGACTGGCGCGGTGGACGCTCGTGACATGCGGAAATCGCTCGCGAGCGAGACTGGCGCGGTGGACGCTCGTGACATGCGGAAACCGCCCGCGAGCGAGACTGGCGCGGTGGACGTTCGTGACATGCCGGCGAGCGAGACTGGCGCGGTGGACGCTCGTGACATGCCCGGCTCCATGTGAACAGCCCGGCGCTACCTGACCCGAACAAACTGTGCCAATGTGTTTCTAGGACAAACCCTCTCTTCAGAAGCTGTAGCCTCTTGGGGTTCGCCCTACTTATTTGGAAGCAGCCTGGAAGCACGTTGACATGAATATGCTGAGCACACTCGGCCCAAACAAAAGGGCGCATGAACATCCGAACAGCTGACCCCGGTCTACGCAGATCGTGGTAACACTGTGTCTCAGACTTGTTTCAGACAGGCGTCAGACCCACCAAGTGACCGAGGCTTGTCCACACCGAGCCCCCCGCAAAAGCGCAGCGCCGGCCCCGTCTCCACACACCTGCGGCGAATCCACCCAACTTGCCATCCACACGCATCCAATTGACAACGTGCGCGGCCCTTTCCACAAAGTCACCAGTTGCAATTGGTTGCGAATGGGAAAATAGGTGGAGAAACTAACGAATCCAAGCAAGCTTACGAAGCAAGTTTGTGAAGGCCACGTGCACGGCTCCATGTGAACAGCCCGGCGTTCCAGGTGCGCCAAGATTGTCCTTTTCGCCGCACACCTGACCCGAACAAATGGCGCCAATGTGTTTCTAGGACGAACCCTCTCTTCAGAGTCTGTGGCCTCTTGGGGTTCGCCCTACTTATTTGGAAGCAGCCTGGAAGCACGTTGACATGAATATGCTGAGCACACTCGGCCCAAACAAAAGGGCGCATGAACATCCGAACAGCTGACCACGGTCTACTCAGATCGTGTTGCAACACTGTGTCTCAGACTTGTTTCAGATGGGTGTAGAGCGAGCTTATGCCTTGTTTCCAATTTGAGAGTGGTAGTTTGCGCGGATCCATTTTCGGATTTCTGTGATTGGTTCTTCATGATGAATCGGATGACTTCGTGCCTTCCATGTAGCGCGGGGCCTGTCATGTTTCACCCGTGCCTTTGCCTGTTTCTCTGTGCTTGAGTCGCGGTTGCTCCCCTTCTTCATCTGTTTGGGGTTGATTTCCCAACTGTGAACAACTTAAATCTTGGTTGGCCTTCGGACCCTTGAGCCGGAAAACAACGGGATCCACATGCCATGGGGAGTGAGGCTGGTTTGCTTTTGGGTTCCCGGGCTCCTCTTGTTTTGTGTTATTTGTCGAACCTGCGGCCTGTTCAAAGCTCCCTTAAGATCTCATGGGCATATATGGTGGCGGCCCTTGAGCCCGTTTAAGGGAGCTCATCCGAAATGATTGTCTAACATTTGCTGAAATCAATATATGTTAGTTTCACTACTACTGGACATATTTTCTCACTGTTTGGCTGCGCTTGTCCTTTTCGTTTCCCTTGAAACCAACCGGGACCTTTGCTTTTTGTTGGTAGGGATAGTAATGGACCCCTGAAAACGGAGTCGGAAGAGCATTGTAAGGGTTCCTTCTAAAGGGGCGATAGTGATTGAGTGGTTTTCGACATGGGACCCACGACATGAACGCCTGCCAATTTCAGGGCGAGCTCACCGTTTCGCGTCAAAACAAGCTCACTATAGCGTGTAGGTCCTTGACTCATTGACTGGGGCATTCCCTTATTGCATTGCAGAATTGGCAGATGAGAATGGGTGTGTCTCTTGCTGGGGGGGTCTTTGGTTGGCCTTGAAGAGAAACCAAAGACGCCCAAATGGTGGTCTGAATCTCGCTTCCTGAGTTCTTGTACTTACCAACTTGGTGGTAGCCAAAGTTTAGACTTTTGGGCTAATCCACTCAGGAAGTAAGGAATTCCCGATCAAGGAATCCATGACCGCCCTGCCAGCCCTAGGCAAACGGGTGTTTTGACCATGCCATTTTTATACGCAGGGCAAAGCGCTCGATGCTGGCGGAATTTGAGGAGGCGGGGTCCGGAACGAGCGCATGAAGTAGATCCTTTGCTCGGGGGTCCAATCCTCGTGTTTCAGGTTTTGGAATTGCGATCGAATTTGCAGATGCGGGTACGTTGTCAAAAGTGAGGGCACATGTTTGGCTTCCTTGCGAACCAGCCAACATGCGCCATCGCCAAACGAAACTATGCACCATTGGAAGCATTCCTTTAGTCGGGACAATGACTATGGCCTGTTTAAAGAATGCTGACCACTTAGAACACGTGGCATTTGTCTTTAGGAAGGATCACTGGTTTCTACAGTCAGTCGTCCTTTGCTGAGCAGTAGACTTGTTGCCAATGTGAAGCCTCAGAATCTTTTTTGGCGGGGTGATGGTCAAAGGATTGGCATACGATGAAGATCAACGCCTGGGTAGTTGTAGCCCATGATTGTTTGCTAACCTCTGTGTGTGAACTTGTCAGGCGGCTTTGAGCTGCCGGCCGGTGGAACCTACGTGTTCGCAAAGGTTTGCAAACTTTGGTTCAGCTCACAAATGTTTGCAAAGGCAGTTCGGTTTGAACTTGTTTGCCGGAGCCATTCTGGCTGGTGCACCCTACCCACGGCACACATCTGATTCTGTGTTTTGTTTGTTTTTGTTTAAAAGGCGCACCTTGCTTGTTGCCTGGGCCACAAGCTGTACTTTCGGCACAATGTGTGGGAGACACCGCGCTCAACCCCGGGGATGGCAAGGACTTCCGGGAAGGTCTTTAAAGGCTCTGAAAAGAGCTTTTCCAGCACGTGTTTGAACGGTGGAAACCGCGAGCCTTCCAAAGTCTCGACATGTTCTCAGGTTTTGAGGTATGGAGGTGTGCCACTTGTACTACTTCCTGAGCACGAGTCAGACTATGCTGACTATTCTGGCAGATCTAAGGCAAGCAAAGGAAAGGGTTTCCACTCATGAACGAGTGTGCTTAAGTTCCCTGATCAATTCCTCAGGTGCACATTATTGTAGATTCTGCGGAGACGAGATTCTGCAGTGGACACTACCTTGAAGTATATGTTAATCCTTGGTTCCTTCAGCCTAATCTTGGGTTTGCTTTTAACTGCTCCATACTTGCAGTGTCTGGGTATTTGGTTGAGTGTTTCCAGGGCCCCCACCTTTTGGTTCATTTTTCCCCGCCCATTTGGTCAGGACTACATCGAGCGAGAGCAGAGGCCTTCGGACAGCTTCGCGGAGGATTTGGTGTCGCACTTCCTTGACGAGGCGGGCGGAAGGTTCCAAAACCATATGAGCTATGGCTGTGGGTCAAAACCAATGGAACCATTCTGGGGTAGGTGCACCACCCATTTTAGAACCTATTTTAGTGTGGATTGGGATGTTTATTGGGGGTATGGGGTCTTGACCCATGGCCATATGTCCGTCCTTTTGATCGGCGTCGTTTAGAAATAGATGGCACTGGTATTCGGATGGGTTTTGTTCCATTTACCAGGGAAACCCATCGTTTTATTTTTTCCAAGAGGCCGCCTATGGTTCCAATCCCAATTTTTGCACGTCCTGTACTGTCCGTGGGCATTCCCTGACTCATATGGCGAATGGTTCTCAGAACCCTTCGATCATAACCCCTCAGTGTTCCTTCAGAACCTTTGTGTTGTGGGGCATGCTTGCGGTTTGCCCTTATGAGTCATATGAGGGATTCCACTGATATGAGTTTTGTTCTACTGATCTCCCCGTTCCGGCTAGTGTTTGTCTTGGAGTCTCAAGTGCTCCACAAGTGCGATGCCTCCGGGAAAAGCCATTTCGAGCGTCCGATCCAAGGGGAATACAACCCATGTTTTCAGCTTTGGAAGCGAAACATGTTGCCAAGGTGTCTATTCTGTGACACCTTTTCTGGCCTTTTAAGGGACAGGGTCCATGGGAGCATTTTGAACAATCAGAGTATGCCTTTGAAACATCCTACAGCCAGCACCCCCGAACAGCTGGTTTTTTGTCCATGTCCAACCCCCCAAAAAGTCACCAAAAAGCAGTGGTTGGGACCTGGATGGCAAGAACCAACCTGTTTCTTTTTGTCTCAACCACTTCTATGATGACCTCCTGGTCCAACATGTTTGTATCCATTAGATGATACACTGTTGACATACCACCCACCCTAGATTTGACACTTAGTTATCCTGCAATCATTCAACTGTTCATAATCCGACGTGAATGTGCATGATCGTCACCCATTGCTCCATTTTTTTCTTTTTGAACCGTAGCATAACCCTAAGTACGGTAACCATAGGGTCCGGGGTCCTTGCCCCAAGCCATCCCCGTAGCTTTGGGTTTTTTTTAGTACTTAGTGGGAAACGTCTCCCACTGAAAGTTAAACTCTTAGCGGGGGATCTGAGGACAGCCCAGTATTCTAGGGGTACCTTCCCCATTCTTTCCAGGGATCCGGGATCCTTCTGTTCAGGAAACTATCCAAAAACCAGGGAAACAGATGGTTCTTGAAACGAACGATGGTTGAAAAGAATGGACAAGAAATCAACCCCTAGAAGTATCGTCTTCGCGGCACCAGCCGCTCCGCTCATGAGGACAGCGCCCCGGGGGTGGTGGAGCGCGCGCGCATGGCCGCGCTGCTGCTGCCCTCGGTGACCTCCCAGGAGGCGCGGTCCAGGGGAAGCTCCCACCTGGGGCCCCAAGGTTCACCTGGTTCCAACAAAAAGGAGGCGACCTGTTCAGATGCTTCTAGCATGTTTTGGTGGTTTTGGTGGCTCTACCTGGTTCAAAAAAAGAAGTGACGACTTGCTTAGATGGTTCTACCTGGTTCAAAAGAGAGGTGATGGCTTGCTTAGATGTGCTTTTGGTGGTTCTACCTGGCTCAAAAGATAAGTGACGGCTTGGTTAGATGGTTCTAACTCGTGTTTGTTTGAACACAAGCTGACAACGCGCCGGTCTTGCTGTGGTGTTTGGGTTATAAATTTGGTCCTGTTAATTTTTTCCGCCTTGAACTCCTTTGCTACCCAATTCACGGGTCACCCAGAAAGTGGAGCCCCTTTCTTTTGGACGTTGTTGCTCCATTTCTTGAGCACCCGGCCGCCCGAGGTCTCTGAGGTGGCAAAGCTCTACGACTTCACCCGGAATGTGGTGGTGAAAATTGTGGCCTTGAACAGCTTTAGTCGGGGGTTCGGGCGTGGTCATGAAATGAGGGATTTGAGACAGAAGGATTCTTCAAACATGTCCACAGACCTCTGAGAGGATCTTAGGACAGTTTTCAGGAGTAAGGGAACATCACCGTGGCGATCCTCAGCAGCCCATTTCCGGGGCATTCCATCTTGAGACAAACCAAGGTGCCAGTTCCTTTTTGTTGGCCTGACGAGCCTTTGAGAAGTGCAACATGAGACATTTTGACGTTTCATGGCTAGCAAATCTTCCCCAGTTTGAGCCAGCGGCGGATGCTCAAGAGCAACCACCCCTGTACTGGGGTTTCGTCCATTTTCTTTGGCGAGGGTAGAAGTATGAGTCAAGTATGAGTCTGAATCTCAATCAGGTACCCTTTGGTGAGCATCATTCATACAGGGGGTTCGGGGTTCCCCATAAATTCATAACCCCGAAATTAGATTTTCTGGCGTACCATCAGGTTGAGAGTTTGACGCTCTTTTTGGCACAGTTGGTCAAGATTGTCTGTTTGATCCTTTCTGCAGTTTGCCTGAAATCCAAATCCATTGGTGTGTGCGTGTGGGTGTGTTAGGACCACCAAGTGGTTAGTTTCGGATGTGCCCATGGGCAACAATTGATGTCCTCAAGTACGTCATTTGAATCCATTCAGATTGAACACATATCACAGAATGGATGTGTACGTGTATGTATACATATCTATCTATATATACACATGCATGACAGACAGACAGACAGACAGACAGACAGACAGACAGACAGACAGACAGACAGACAGACAGACAGACAGACAGACAGACAGACAGACAGACAGACAGACAGACAGACAGACAGACAGACAGACAGACAGACAGACAGACAGACAGACAGACAGACAGACAGACAGACAGACAGACAGACAGACAGACAGACAGACAGACAGACAGACAGACAGACAGACAGACAGACAGACAGACAGACAGACAGACAGACAGACAGACAGACAGACAGACAGACAGACAGACAGACAGAGACACAGACAGACAGACAGACAGAGACACAGACAGACAGACAGACAGACAGACAGACAGACAAACAGACAGACAGACAGACAGACAGACAGACAGACAGACAGACAGACAGACATGTATTTCATATATGTATGTATGTACATGATTTTACATGTAGATATACATACTTGTTTTGTGCCATTGTCGGCTTCATGTCTTCGGAGGGATACATGAATTTGGTCCGCCTCCATGTCTGTGGGATGTCTCCCATCCAAAGCCCTGACAAGGAAGGGCCCAGGTCGCCCAGCCGTGGGTGCCAAAGATCGAAAGAGTCAGGGGGTTGGGATGCTAAAAGACAAGTTTGATAGGGCATTGTTGATCATGATGATAGGGTGGTCCCTACTGGTTTAGTCATGATGATAGGGTGGTATTTACAGGTTTAGTCATGATAGGGTAGTTGAGCCCCCATTTCACCGCCCGGACGCCCCCCCGGACCCGGACCCGACCGAGGCGACCCCCTTGATGTCGCTGCGCAGCCCCGCCTACACCTTCTGGAGCGTGTTGCAGGCTCACCTCGTTGGGCATCGCCCGTGGGTGATCTTTGGGATCTCCCCTAAAATCGTTTTATTCCCAGTTGCCAAGTGGCGCCTTTTTCCCTCTTTTTGGGAATGGCTCGTTTTTGAAAGCCAACCAACCAAAGAAGGCTGCCCTTTTCTTTCCCATGGCCACTGGTCATCTGAGTATACCTCTGGGAAGACCAAATACGAAGCAGAGTTTCAGTTTTTTTGCAGATCTCGGGGAAGACTACATATGAAACAGAGTTTTATATTTTTGGAGGCCAACATTTGTCACAGCTTCGTTTTTTCCGTGTCCGGGCAAGATGAGTACAATCAGTTGCACACCGCTCAGGCGTGTCGCCAGCTGCGTTTTCCCCGGCCGTCCTTGGACCTCCCCGGGGAGGAGTCACGGGAATGGGATGGGCGTGTCTTGGCGGATGGCACCCTCCCCCAGTCCAGACAAATGCATAGGGGACCTAGGTACCCCGTGCATTGTGGAGCTTTATGCGTTTTAAGTTGCGTTTTTCCAGGTCCCCCCGCCCCTTATGAATGGGGGATGGTACCCTTGACGAGCTTTTTGCAGGGGAGCAACAGGAACACCAAGAAGTTTGAGGGTCCTCTTTTTTGAGGCACACCCATATGATCGACGTGGGCCAAAATTGGGAGCACCCAAAAGGTCGTTTTCCTGTTGGTGTCCCATTAAATCTATCTCAGGGGTACCTTCAAAAAAAGACACACCCGGGCTGGTCGAATGCAATGGAGGACTGCCCCGGAGAAAAAAAACAAAAAACTTGAAATAAATGACTGTCCATGACACCTTAGACTCTAGACCTGTTTCTGAGGGCTTGGGGGTGCAGATCTATGAGACTTGGCTTCGTATCATACGCGGAGTTTGGTGACCTTTGCTTGAATTGTGTGTGATGAATTTTGTGTTCAGTATATGATACGTAACGTAGTACACGTGCTGTTGTGTCATATCGGCATGTGATATGGCATTGAGTTCCAATCATAATCAGGTACCATGTTGCGTATTTAGATGGCTCGGAACTACGGCAGCGTATCCCAAGCCATTTGCCGCAGCGTATTGCAGGATATATGATTGTGGGTCTCATGATGCTACAACAAAGCATCTTGCCTTGCCCTGTCACACATACGCTCGGCATGCCGGTTCTTAAGCTGCCAAATGCATGCGTGCATTGCATGGTGTATGTGCCCATATATCGACACTCATGGCAGTATGCGCATGCTTATCGTGCCCGGGACCAGATGTTCTTGGCACACTCATCTTCAAGATGATTATAAGTTAGTTTTCAGGTGGTAGGAGCTCTCAACTAGGACACGGTAGCATGCTCCAAACGTATTGCAGGCAGGACTTGAGCATGGACACTTGGCTTCAGTCTGAAGCCCTCTGGATGGCCCTGCGGGCCACCCCGATCTGCAGGAGGAAGTGGCGAAGCTCATGCAGTCAGTGGCTGCCGAGGAGATGGAGGCGGGATACCGGGATACCGCTTGGGCTTCATGGAGAGTATTCTGCAGATGAGCATGGAACCCAAAACCCCCTAAAAAGCCGGCAATTTGAGGGAACCTCCGTTTGGGCGATGCTTTTTGGTCCTCCCTGTCAATTTGCAGGCGGGGCAAAGCACACTTTTCCAGCTGTGGAAGTGTGGATTCCGGAGCCTTCCGCGAAAGAAGAGTGGCAATCGAAAATTCGATATCGTCAGCATCCTGCTGACCAAATCGTGTTTTTATGTGTCACGCTGGTTGCAACCGAGGTAGGGGACAAACGGGGCCCTTTGAACGGGTGCGTCTATTTTGAGTGGACCATAGTGGACCCCCAAAATGGTGGTTGTTCTTTTGGTTTCCCTTGAAAACCACAAAAAAAGGTCCCCTAAAAGACACATCCAAATCCGGGTTGCTTGCGCTTTCATAATCATGTGTATCCGATCGAGCCATTTGTTCGAACCCATTCAACAGGTCAAGCTATCCAGATGTTCCTGAACTTAGTTTGACTGCAAGGGAAGCCTCCGAGCAGCACAGTATGTGGGTAGGTGGGTGTATGTGGGTGTGGCTGAGCCAGGGCGACCACAGGTTTGAGTGCCCCCCACCCCCTGTATTTTTTGAGCCACCATGTGTCAAGATGTGGGTCCCCTCAAACAAATGACACGCATCCCATCCACTCGTGGCCTGTTTTGGTGCAGGCCTGGCCAGCGGACGCGGACGACGTGGACGCGCGCCTGCTGGGCCTCTTCGAGAACACCGCAGACAAGCGCCTGCCCCGCAGCGGCGCCGAGAACGGCCTCCGCGCCGCGCCTTTGGCACGAAAGGCCCCCATGACTTACTCAGTGGATCCCAATCATAGGCAACCCTTCGCGATGTTCCTTTTGGGTTTTAAAAGGCAGTTCCCTTGGTTGGCTACAGTCGAAACTGGAATCACCGGGTTACCCTTTGAACTTTTGGTCTTTTTGGTTGTCCGTCAAAGGGGTTCAAATTCTCGAATCTCAGCACTCTGTGGCAGTTGTATCCTCATTTCCCCTTCACATGGTTGGCGTGTATCCGTTCTTTTACTGGCGAGCTCACTTGAGGGTAGCACGAGGCGCTCACCGTGTGTGATTTTTGAGAGTGCCCTTGTTTTGGCTTTACAGGGTCGTGTCAAATGTTCCATGTCAACCTCGGAATCCGGGAGACGCCAGTCCAAGGAATCCCCTGTAAGATAGATATGGGTTTCCTTAGCAAAACGGCACCACTTCTGAATAGTACAGCCCTCCGGATGAATCCGAAGTCGCCATGACCTATTAGATCGACGGGAACTCTATTTGAGGATGCCAACATGGAGACACCTGTAGGACTCGCGCCGATTTTAGGACGCACACCTACGTGCAAAGACACACATACACACCTCTATTTAAAAAAGTATTGTTTTTGTTCTCACCTTTTGGGGGTGCACCGTTTTGGCAAACCCAAAGATTTGGCCCCTTTATTTCGGGCCAATCCACTCGAACGACGTCACGTGAGCGGCGGAGGTGTCAGCGGCGGGAGTGCCGAAGCCCTCCCGCAAGGATCTGGCGGAGTCCGAGTCCGGTCCCTTCGGGGAGGCGCGGTTCGGCGCCGAACTCGGCCGGGGGGGACGAGTCGGTCCCCCAGCTAGGTGCCCTTTTGCCGTTTCTTTTTTGGGGGAGGGTTCCCCTACTATAATAGACTACAGAAGAAAGGGATTCCAACCTCTCTACTGGAGGACCTAGGTAAAGATTCGGTAAGCTGAGTCGGTGTGGGTTGGTAACCCGACTGGCACACTTAAATGAGACACAATTTGGGCTGTTTTGCTGGCCTTTGTTTCTGTTTACCAGAGCTTTGGGATGCATACGCTTGGAGCCCTGTTTTATGGCAAGCTTGTCGTGCCCGGGCTTGGTGTGATGCGGCTGCTTTACCCGCGGATCACTTGCCGTCGAGGTTGGAATTATTGCAACATTTGCGGATGGATTCAGCATGGATGAAGCCTGTCACACTCGAGGGCTCAGATGGCAAGTTGATGCAGCTGCGTTTCTGGGATTGTTGGGTGCGGGAAGATGATGAGTGAAAGCCAAAGCCCATGGTGAGTGCCTTGTTTATGCATCCGCATTGTGACATGGCGTGTCCTAACATCCCAATCCCCACAAACATAGGTCCTAAAATGGGTGGTGCACCAATCCCCCAAAATGGGATCCCATTGGTTTTGACCCACAGCCATCCAATTCAGAGCCACAAGAACCGGAGCCATTGCCAGGTGATAGAGTCTGATAGAGAGTAGTGGTGGGGCCAAGGACCATGGGCCAACCCATGACTTCTCTGGGTCTGAATTTGGGTTGGTATCCCATGGCCCCCGTCTGACCCAACCAAGGTGGCACTGGCAAGCGCCGGTCCGAGGGGACTTTCCGGGCAAGGCAAGGCTTGCTCCAAGGCAAGCGTTCGGTCCACTTCCAGGCTGCCTTAACCCTAACGTCTGAGAAGGCCACATCTTCGGGTCTTTCGGGGGTTTCGGGGACGGATGTCCACGTCTGCAGGAAGTGATCTTGCAGAACGGTTTGCGCGTCTTCCTCAAGGACTGAATGCGGATGGCAGTTGCATCGCCGAGAGGCTGAGTTGCCAACTTAGGGACTTGGACGCTTTGAGCATCTTGCAAAGGAATCTTGACCGGTCCCTGGACTCTCTACGACCCGTTGAAAATGGGGGCATAACCGTCTGAACCCATCTTGGAAACACATAGTACTTGCTCATTGTTTAGATGCACGTGGGTTGTCTCTGGGCTTTGCAAGGGTGTGAGTCTGTTCCAGGGGACCCTTCGGTGGACATGTCGGTTGGGATTGTCCACCAACCATTTATGTGACTCAATATTCAACAAACCAATCAGCATAGCCCTCCATTCGTTTGGGGATGTGGGTGTGTCTGCTTCGAGGGTATCCCTTTTGGAGGGCTTTTAAAGAGAAACCAAGAGAAAAAACGGGTCATTTCACCCATGCCGCAGCCTAACAAGCACTTGGGGAGGTGGGGAATGAACCGGAGGGGGATCCCCAGAACCACTTCAATTCGTGTGCGTGTGTGTGTGTGTCTTTGTTTCTTCGGGTACCCTGTGTGCATCTTTGTGTTGGTCACCAGGGAAACCCAAAGAAACACCACCCATTTTGAGGCTTGCCATGGACAAGCTCAAAGGGTTCGTGGTTCCCGTTCAAAGCTGACCAGCAAGATAAAGCCCGAATCCATAGCAATGGGTTCCCGGTTGTTTGGGATTGGCGAAGTTAGGCATGGCAAGGAACAAGCAGAGTGCGCGAATGTATTGAATTTCTTACAAGTACCTCGTGTGAATCTTACAAGTACCTCGTTTGCAAACCGATGTTTATGCACAGGGTTCACTACGTCACTATGGACCAGAAAGTCAAGCACAGGCGAGCTCAGGTTTGTGTTTATACAGGCATCAGGAAGGCGTTTGATCATGTTGTTGTTTTGTAGACACGTTGAATCGAATAACCCCTCGAGGAAACCGAGACTTCCCTGGGCCGGCTTAAGTTGGTTTCCCTTCGAAATAGATCCTGTGTTATAGGCATAGGTGTACCAGGCTACTAAGTGTGTTGGTTAAACCTTCCAACCCCGCGTGTATTCAAGGGCATGATTGAGGCGTGACTTTCCTGAGGCAGCGTGTTTGTGATTTGCGGAGGTACGGCGTAGCCATTCCATGCAATGGTCCCTGTATACCAAAACACTCCCCTCAGAAAGCCAAAAAAAGGGATGGACTTGTTTCAATTTACACACGTTGCGGCACCGATACAGCTCTTCGAATCCACCTGTTTTTGAATCTCCACTTACCTCTTGGTTCCAGAGGCTTTGTGCACCCCGGAAAAAATCACCCTCCGGAGTCATAGTCCGGCCCAAAATAGATTCTGGGTGGCACCATGTTCTGGGTGACCCCATAGCCGGGAGACCTCAAATCTGCCAAAGTGGCTCGCAAAAAAAGAGGAACAACGCGTGGACTTGCCAGAAACATCCCAACGAGTGCCTCTGTGCAAATCCATGTGACCCCTTAGCCATCCAGTCGATACACGAGGAGACGGACCTCTTCGATGACGAGATCCTGGTGAAGGGTCGCAGGTGGGGCGGACTCTCCGAGTTCCAGGAGCGTGAATTCAACGGAGCCAGGTGTGAGTTCACACCGCCGGAAATTCCCGAGGCGTGATCGCAAAATCTACACCGCAGCCCCCAGGCGTCAATTCAAACAAAAAACGCCGGCAGGCGTGAATTGAAACAAACAAAACGCGACTCCCAGGAGTGATTTCAATATAGTTGATTCCCGAAAGAAGAACACGGCAGCCTGCCTGGTTCTACAGGGGGTTACAATGCAGGCATTCTGCACCTTAGCCATTCGGCAGAACCAAGAGTCAGTTTTGTATTTGAGATGGTTTCCGCTGCTAATCACCCCCCAAGCGAAGATCATGGTCCCTCCCCGAGACGAACACGGAAGCTCCCAGGACCCCTTTGGAAGACTTGGTTCCATTTGCAAAGGCCTTCTGGAGCTTCCGGCTGTTAGTCTGAGGGAGTGTGCCACTATAGCCAGCATACAAGGGCTACAAGGGCTACGTAGCCCACCTTGCCTTGGATTTGGAAGTGCTCAAAGGTTCAGAGGTTTTGCACTAGAGGCTTGAAGCTTGAAGGTCATCAGTTTTTGGTCAATTTAGACAACTGCTGGGGTTCCTATAAGATTGCCAATCCCTGAAACATGGAATGGGTCACGTGACCCCTCGAAGCGGGCTTGTAGGCACATGTTTTCCTTTGGAAGGCTAACATGAATGCGGATTAGATCACCCCCCCTCTTCGCAGGGAGATCTAGCAAAGCAACGACCCTGGCAACTGGCAACCGCAAATGGAGTTTTAGTCACAGCATCCCCACTCCCTCAAGAATGTAATTCGGGAAGGGGCACCAATTTTCCCTTTTCTGGGGAAGAGAACACGGAAGTTCGGACCCGCCCAGCCCCCCCTTTTGAGGCAGGTTCCTTTCGCAGCTCGTGTGCCCAAACTGCCCCGCGAGGAGAGCGGCATGTTCAGCGGAGGCCTCCAACCCTCCGGCCGATTTTTGGGGGCTCGAGATCGAAGGTTGGCAGCGTTGGGCCACCCCAGTTGCCCAAAGCTTGTGGTTTTCCGATATGGGCTTGGTTTTGACCTTGTTTTCCCAGAAGGTCGCTAAAGGCAGGCCTTGTTTTCCTAGGTCCTTTGGGCAAGTGAGGGTTTTTGGTCCATATTTCGCCAGGGTCACACAAGGTGAACCTTATTAAGTCTGAGCTGGGACAACCTCCTCTTGGTTTCTTTTGGGGGCTTCAAGGGACATCAAGGGACTTCATCTCTGTTCTGCCCAACCCTGGTGGCCACCGATTCGCTGTGCAGGTCCTTCTCTTGGGGATCCAGTCCTTACTTGAGGCTGTGGAAGTATTTTTTCAGCTTCCACTTTGAAGCTTCACGATCGGAACCCTTTCGAACGAAAGGTTCCCACCGTACCTTTTCAAAGGGCCTGAGGAATCGGACTTTGTGCATTCACATCGAACCGGCAAAGCAAAAGTGATTCGGTTCAGCACCTCCCTTGGGGGAGTTCCGGGTTGGTAAAGTGGCATTCCATGTGTTTCCGGCATGGAATTAGCAGCAAAGGAGCCTGTTCAATCCAAAGTGGGGAAACTAGTGCCACTGGGCAACTGGGCAACTGCCTTGTGTGTGTTCTACAATTCGACCTTCAAAACATTGGGTTTCCCCGTTATCCGACTTTCCCTGACCATATCTGACCATTGACCCCTTTTGCAACCCTCCTAAGCTCGGGAGAAGACGTGACGCCCCCCCAAGGCAACAAAGCTTGCCCTACCAAATTCAGCGCCCCCGCCCCCCCCCCCCCGCCCCCCCCACATGGTCACAAATGGCCTGAGAACAAGTATCATCACACACACACACAAAAAACCCTAGTTGGTTGGCAAAATGCTCCTTGGCTCCTGTCGTTGTTGTTCCATGGCCTTCGGGCAAGTGAGGCTTACTACAAAGCGGGTGGCATGTGTTTGACTTGTTACACAATGGAAACATCAGGGGCGCCAGGGTCAATCGGGCCGCTTGCAACCCCTCTTGCCGGTGTGCCTCTGAAAGAAGCTTGGGATCCAAAATTGGCCACCCTACAGACGTAAGGCCCAGTGCGCCAAGTGACTCTCGTAGACCCTTTCCAGGAAGGGATTGCCGCGCACGCTCCAGACACTCGAGTGCGTCTTTGGGAATCTTTTTCTCAGAGCTGTGTGTAAGAAACACGCAGCTTTCACACACAGTCGGCAAGTCTTATCTTGTAGGTTCTACAGGGCTCTGGTGGCCCACTTTGGCCTTGGGGATGATCCAAGGCCGAAGTGGCCCACGAGAAGCTGTAGACTCCTTAAGGCAAATTGTTTCAACGGAATGAGAATTGAGAATGGCTTCTGTTTCCAGTGCCCCCTTGTGCAGGCCTTCTTAGGAAGGGTTTTGGGTGGAGAGAGTGATGATTGAGAAGGCTTGGTCATTTGTTTGCCACACAGGCTCTACTGGAAAGCTTGCAATAAGTCTGCAACCAGCAACCCGCCAACCACCGCTTCTTAGACGTTGCTTGGGATTGGACATGGGAACATGTGGTTTGTGTGTATTTCTTGGCGTTTGCCTTCAGTCACAGCTGGACGCAGAGTTTTTGTCATTCCCTCTGCCCGCAGCTTTTTTTGCTTCCGGTCCCTGCTTTCTGAAGTTTACGCCACATCAGCTAGCAGCCTCGACTCTTTTTGTTTTCCCTGGAAGAGGACCAGGGCTTGGTTGTTCGAGTGTGTTTTGCCCAACCCTTGGGACCCTTTCATTGTTAGCTTTGGAGTACTTGGCTGCCTTTGCGTGTGGTTCTAGGCTCATAATCCAAGCATAAACCTCCTAAGTGAGGTTTACCAGGTTTCTGACCTGGTTCATTCCCCAAACAGAGGCGGCCACGTAAGAAGAGCGGACCGTAAGCAGCCCCTTTTGTTCTCGCAGGCACCAGCTGCGAGGCCCAGGTGAACCAGATGTGCGCGTCTTCCTCAGCTGGACTCGGAGCCAGGATGGGGAGGGAGTTGATTCCCTTCGCGCGCGGCTGCGTGTCAAAATACTGTTTTTTGGATGATAATGGAAAGAAGACAGGAACATCAAAGAGAGATGGTAAGATAATCATTTGGGGGGGGGGCTTTCTGGATGGTGTAGAAAGGAAAATCGAGAGAAAGCAAGTGAGAACATGTCCGCTATTGCCAGAAATGCTCCTGGGATCTTTCAATTTTCCTCATGACACAAACCAGCGGATGTGCCCTACTGGTTCTGATTACATGTTGACATTCTGTTGGTGGGGTAGTGAATCACTGCACCAGCATATTGATGTTATGCGCACCTGCAAACAGTGGTAGCTGCGGTGATGGTTGTGCCGGCAAGCAGAGGTAGTGGTGGTGGTGAGATATAAGACAGGGGTGTTTACGTACACGTCCGCCTGTGTTCTTCATCTATGTTCTAGACGATAAGTCGCTTGTCGGTTTTATTTGTACCTGAGTTTACGGTTCTATTCATGTAGCCATGTATCACTTGTTCATTTACTAATTTGGACACCATGCAACACATCTAGTCCAACTCCCAATGATTGCACCTGAGGAGAGCGGGGCGGCGAAGACTGATCAGGGAGCTGCCTGCCTTTGTTTTGAGGATTAACAGGGTTGTATTCCTCGCAAATTGAAGGATTCCCTAAAAGTTTGTTATCAAGGCCACCCCAACCGGATTGGGCGCACAGCGATTTATCAATCCTGGGTTCCCATAGGGCACGCCTCTTTTCTGTAGAGGAGACATGCCTGGACTGTCGTTGACGAGCAACCGGCTACCAGGCCACCAGTCACGAACCATTTTTCTGTACGTCTTGGAGACTCTGGACTCACAGGATGTCCAACGACCTGAGGGGCGTACACCCCGGGCCCAGTTGGGAACCATTCCCCATACAAAAACATGAGGTAGCAAGCTGGGGGCTTACTCTCACGTTGTTTCGTAATTAGCAGGTGGGATTGGATCAAAACCTTTGGCTTCTTGACGAAACTACGCCGTGTGTTTTTAAACGCGAATCGCTAAGGGGCAACGGATTGGTGAGTCCCATCGCTGGACCAAGGCAATGATGCTGGGCATTTGTGGGCTGCCGGCGGAGTCCTTGCAGGTGAATGGGTGCGAGACAGAACATAGCATCAAACAAACATGAGTGGCCAATTGAGCCACGTCCTCAAAACTCGGCTTTGACTCTTAACGCGGAAACTCTCCTGAATGGTGGACATAGATGCCAAAAAGGATGTTCACTAGAGGCCCATAAACGGCTACGGCCGCCAGTGTACTCCTTGACTTGGATTTGGATAGACCATTGGAATATCGGGTTTGAGCATGACCAGTGTTACATCGGTGTTAAACTGTGTGATTTATCACTATCGTTGTCGAACCAAGGGGTGGGTTTGGGACGATCTTGTTTCCTTGATGTTACCAATCGGAATTCCGAGCTGGCCCCACTCGATTCCAGAGGCTTTTGAATTCTGAGCTTGTACCATTCCTTTTATTGGTCATGTGATGAGTACTTGGTTTTCGGGATGTCTTTTGGCATGATTACATGTTTTAGGTTCACTAATATATGAAACATGGTCAAATATGTATTTGTTTCGAGCAGAGGGGGGGGACCATGTTTGAGTGTCTAAGATGTGCGATAGTTACCAGACCTGCTTATTAATTCTGCGGGTTCCTGCGCTATTCGAGCTAAAATTTCCAGATGGCGAAAGGGACACTGTTACAACATCCATCAGAGTGCAGATTTTGAAGGGTTCTCAAAATCAATTTTGGGTGTTCCTTGTGTAGTCATACAAAACGGGCCCAGTACGGAATAGAGAACCATGGCCATGGCGCGAAGCTGCCGACTGACCCATAGCAGCGCCCAACTCCCCTTGTGACCATTTCAGTAGCAGTAAGTGGGCATTGGAGGGTTATGTTAGCCTAGAAGGGCAAAGGAAACCATCGGGGCACCGCCAGGAGTGTCTGGAAGGCAAACGCGTGGATCCGAGTCCTCCGAGCATGGATGTGTCTCGGCAACTCAACCGGTCGAGCGAGCGATGCGGAGCAATTCAGAGCGGGAAGCCGAAGGTCCCCGGAGTTTGCCACGAATTTGAGCCCTTGGGTCTCAAAAACGCAAAGGAGCTCATCCCAGAAACAACAAAGAATTCTAGGGGCAGGCGAAACTGACCCCTGAATAAATCCTCCAGTGATCAAGGAGTCAGCGGTCGACATTAATTCAAAACTCCGCACAAGTCCCAACATGTTGATATGTAAGTTGAATACCCGGTGCTCCCCAAGCGGTGCTTTGGCAGTGGTCCCGGCTTGTCAAGCGTGTCCAAAAATGGCAAGGCGGCGTGTGTTCTCTTGGCCAGGGAGGGCTGTCAGCTTGTCTTTCACAGTTGGATGAAAGGCAATTCCCCCGAGTTCCCCCAACGGCTTGGCCCATATTGTAAATTCCACGCCAGCTAGGTTCACCCTGGAACCTTTGTCAACATAAACAAGGTAGTTTTGTTTGCCACACATGCTGGGCCCTAGATGGGTGTGTCTTCAAACCCCATCAGCCCCAAAAGCATACCCGCAACACGATGCACCCAAATGGATCATGCTAGTGGCAAGGAGAAACATGAGTCAAAGTGTTTTGGCGCTACTCAACTCACTAGAGGCATAAACGTGGTTTGATCTTACAAATTCCCTCTGGTTTCCCGTCCAACCTTCCCCATTTGGGGGCACACCCATTTGGAACTTTGCTTGGTTGGACCTTGAACCTTTTACTTTCTGAGGGGAAATGCGCATGTTCCCATGATCCAGCAAACAGTTCCTGGTCCTCTGCAGGGAGGTGATCAGGCCCGGATTGGATCGAGCATGCCAGCAACAGATTATCCCGACTCTAAGCCAACAATTGCCCACCAGAGTCCCTTCAGGTGAAAGCCAAAGAGAGAACATGTTGCCCTCCCAGCAACTAAGATCCCTAAGAACCAGACTAATCAACTTGGGGTGGTTAGTAAGGCATAGCGAGGCCTTAAGCGCAACCAGCGCAAGCTACGAAGATGATGCTCGTGAGGGACCTAACTACAGCCCAGCACGGGTATGTGTTGGTTTTCCCTCAACAACCATGAATTTTCTTTGCGCACCGTAACTGCAAGGGTTTTGTATGGGGTGAACATACATGTACTTACCGGAATCCACCAGCAAAAGGGCCCGATCAGCACCACGTTTTTTGCAGCTTCTAGTTTGTTTCATTGGCTGTAAACACTCGTGGCTGGGCTGTTTAAAGGCACTCCTTAGTCCTTTAGTTTGTAGTGGTTGTCCAGCAACAATTATGGATTTGGATTGGCCCGCCTCCAGGTTCAGTGGTTTTCGGTTCGCACATGGCCGGGTTTGTCCAAGAGACCGAAGAAGCCGCTGTGTCCCCAGCCAAAGCTGCGGCAACCACAAGTCGATGCATATGTTGCAGTTCCCAGCCGACAGCACGTTGTTTTTTTAATTGGGGGGGGGGTACCCTTGGGGTTGGTTTCAAAGGGAAGGCAAAAGGTTTCTACATACATTTTGGGGCTCCCCTAGTTGGACACAACCCATATAGATCGGAAGTGAAGTTGCTGGTGGTCGGTAAATGTTGGATATGCTGAGGCATATACCACGTCCCTGGACGGTTCCTCCTCTCCAGCAGATTTCGAGGCTGGGGCGCAGTACGACCATGACGTCCTCCTTTATGCAGGGTCCTCCAAAGGATAAGTTTAGCCAGGGTCCTTAAGGGTGTCAGTTTAACATCATGTCACTTTCGCCGGCTTAGCGAATCTCCTGTTACAGCTGCTGTCTTTTTGCATCATCCTTCTAGCTGAATCCTGGGTGAACATGATGATGGTATTGTTCTGAATGGGATATGGACCTCCTTGGGGGCTTTGTGTTTTTTGGCTTGGTTTCCCCGGTTTCCCCACAAGGGCACCCCCATTTGCGGATGTGGAGTTCACCCTTGAGATCCTTTGGGTTGCAAAAGGCCAGCCTTTTGCCAGACGAGGCAGGCTGAACCGCAGGCAGGCGGACACAACATGCCCAGTCCGCCGTGAGTTGACTTCTGCGGGGAAGAAATGGCCACGGGTCATAACCTGTGGCGATCCCATTTTGGGGCGGATGAACACCCACGTACCACCTACTTTGATGTTCACCGGGGTACAGGGTTTTGACCCACAGCCAAATGACTTGCAGACACTGCGGTGGAGAAGTGGAGAAGGTTTTGTGGCAGGAAATAATATGTGTGTACTTTTGCCAGACTCCCGTATTTAGCGCCCAGTTTAGGTTTTAGGCCTTTGGACGTGCACACGGCCAGGTTTTGCTCATGCTTTTGTCGCTACTATTTCTTCAGCCGGTGCAGCCGAGCGCCGGTAGCGCTGGGAGGCAGGCATGAGACCAGGGAGAGTTTGTGGAAGATTTGAGGCTGTGGGTCAAAAAATGTTTCCCAAAATGGCTTGCCCTGGCCAATGGAGCTATTGACTAAAACCGGCGGTCCGGTGGCTTAATTTTGACCCATCCGTTGAGTTGAGTCCAAAGACCGCCCCGCCAGTGGCGCTTGTTTCCAACGTTTTTCTTGGGTGGGTAGTTCCAGCAACGTGGAACCCTGGAACCAGGGGGTCCGTGAAAGACAAGCCATGTCTGGGCTGAAGCTACCGGCCCTTTTCCCATAGCTCTCAAAGTTGATTCGTGGTTGCAACCACTGCTGTCTGGGACTTTGCTCAGCAATGGTAAGTTGATCTTTGCGTGGGTCAAGGTTAGTGTTGGCCCCATATTAGTCAACCCCAGTTTATGTATCGGGGAGTGTTCCCCTCTAAGAGTAGTCTGATTCCCCACTAGACGCAGGTTGACACCCCATGAATCAACTGGTTGATGAAGATGGGGTCTGCATTAGCCATTTAGCCTATCTTCCACATGAAATGTGCTGCCAGCCTGGGTTTAGTGGGAAATCAGACCACTCTTGGAGGCCCCGGGTGTTACCCCCCCCCCCCCCTACCCCCAAATCATCGGAGCCATTTTTCGCTCACTCCCTCATAGGCTGAGCCTGGTGAAGCTTGGGCTCTTAGCTTGGCGCCTGGCAGAGGATCGGGACCCGGCCAGCCGGGGGCCCGGAGGCGTCTGGGCCTGCCGGTGGCCAGGCACCTTTGGACCTTTGGTCAGGCTGTGGTTGTCATTTGCGTTTTGGGATCGATCCCATTTTGGTTGGTAGGTGAATTCACCACCCATGTCAGAACCTATTTTGGTGGGGATCGGGATGTTCACTTGGGGTACGATTTGGATTTTGACCCATGGCCAGGTGGGTAAGCCAAAAGGTGATGCATTCCCATTTTGGAGGGTTTTCGATTGGAGAAGATGCCTGGAATTCACGATCCCCTGCTGAGTTTCAATCAAGATGCTCAACGCTGCACAGCGCCAAGAATCCCCTGGTTTAATAAGGATTCTAGGAGTCCCTTCACAAGCCTTACTAGCCAGGCCGTCAGACCTGTCAACCCCCCAAAATAAAGCTGTAGCGCCAGGAATCCCCTGGTTTAATTCAAGCCTTACTAACCATGCCAGTAGACCCAAATCAATGGGTTTGGGTTGCTTCTCAATTGGTTCCTGTCAACCCCAAACATCAAGTCCCACAAATTGGTCAAGCCGTGATTGCATCGCCCGCCGAGGCCAATTCCGGCGGCGCGTGCAGAGCGCTGTGACGGGGAATCACCCGCCACTCGCGGCCTAACTTACTCTGGGTGAAGTATAACGACCTCACACGACCTCACCCCAATGGTTGATGTGGGGAGTAGCCCAACCACCTTATTTCAGGTTGGTGAAGTATTGGAATTCACCCAGAATTCGAGGGATCCCTCCCAACGCGGCTCGTTAGACCAAGGGCCGATCTCTCCAAAACAAGTTCCATGAAGGCCAGCATTCCGCTTTGGAATTCGTACGCCCAGAAATACCCGAGTGTCTCCAATCGCCGAAATGAGTTGCACCGTGTCCTTTTCCGTCCCTTAAAGACAAACTGCACACAGATGTTTCCGTGTTCAAAGAATGGCATGCCCCATTCAGGCACACCCACACACACACACACACACACACACACACACACACACACACACACACACACACACACACACACACACACACACACACACACACACACACACACACACACACACACACACACACACACACACACACACACACACACACACACACACACACACACACACACACACACACACACACACACACACACACACACACACACACACACACACACACACACACACACACACACACACACACACACACACACACACACACACACACACACACACACACACACACACACACACACACACACACACACACACACACACACACACACACACACACACACACACACACACACACACACACACACACACACACACACACGCCCATGTGCGCTCGCACGCCCTCGCACTCACGCACGCGCAAGCATTCACGCATATTATAGACCCTTCCGGGTCCTTTCACCTGTCCAGCTTCACCAGAAGGGGATGGGATGCATTCGGCGCAAATCGGTGCGACATGCCTTTCTCGAGCATTGAGCGCCGCCAGCTCGCGCCGTGCGTCGATTGAGCAGAGCAGGTGCAATATCCATATGGGCAAGCAATATAAAAGGGGACACGGGGGCCCAACCAAAAGCTTGGGCTTTAGAAAAGCATCCGGGGTTCCCATTTCATCCGCTGTTTTTCAGGTCCCAAGATCAGGTTCTTCTCTATTAAACCCCACGAGGCCGTTGAATCGGTGTCCCGCATCAAAGGTACACCTGGCTTCCCAGCCTCTGGCGCATCCTGCGGCTGAACTTTCAGACCGCTGCTCAGGCGCGCGATTTTGCGCTGCGCAACTTGGAACCGAGCGAAAACCGCAGCGGGCGAAAACCCATAGAGGTCCATATGCTTGGCGAATCCCGACTTTTCTGGTTTGGGAGTTTCGGGAAAACTATTTCGCCCACCTTGTCGGTTTGGTTGAACACCAACAGTGCTGGTTCCTGTTTGGCTTTATTCATCTATTGCGGCATGTGTCCTTCCCAAAGAGCACCTAAAGAACGCTGCTTGTGGGTTGGTCAAAATGTGGCAACCCAATGGGCCTTTGTTTCCCTTTGATTTGTATTGGCACCGAACACAGTATGCCTTAACTCTTGAAACCAATACCCAGTTTGTCATGACTCGGTGTCTGGTTGACCAAGCATTGAAAGTGAAAACTCAAGATTCACTCAGAGTGCAGTGCATGTAGGCTTGCTTACATTGCGAGCGTACCCATTTTTGGGTTCGTGGAAAGCAATATCAAAGGGGAACACACATTTTGAGGTTCCTCTATTTTGAGGCAAACCTGCACTGCCCTGTCGCCAAATACTTGGTGGGTTTTAGCGTAGGCCCGGTCTCAACAGAGGACAAAGCCAGATTTCAATGCAACCTTCATGGCTCCCCCTTAAACAGGACCCCTTTATCCCACCACATGGTCATGGTTTTTGATAGGAACTAGACATGAATCACCACCTAAATCATGCCCACCACCCAGTTCCTAATTTACATCCAATCCAGTGGAGCTTATGTTCGCATTAGATTGGGTCCTTCCTGGCACGGGCAAGGTCAGAGGCAGCAGAGGCCGAACATTGGTCACCCCAGCTCTTGGGCAGCTTCAGAAACAAACCACGACCCATGCCGTGTGGAAAAATCCAGGGACCTTTGCAAGTAGGCGCCCTCTTGAGGCTGGGGTCAAGAGACAGTTCATGTTCAAAGTATTCCAAACGCACCAGCCAGAAACCACCCTAACGCTGACACTTTGTCACGGTTGACCATCGGGCTGGGCCACCCTTTTGGGATTCATCTGGAACAAACTTCAATACTTTGGCATCCCACAGGGTTCATTGCTAAGATGAAATGGCTGGAACAGCCGAAATCACATTGTACAGTTGCTTTCACCAAAGGGTCCACAGATTCATGGCCAACATGTCTTGCTTTTTGTTCACTCAGTTGCCCTTGTCCGTCCCCTTCAATTTGAGCCACGGTCTCAAAGGCGCCGATTCTCGAGTCCGGGTTCCGATCGGAGTGTCTGCTCAAACGGGAACACACGAACCGAGGGACCCATGGTGCCCCAAAAGAAAGCCAGAAGCTCCAACTGGTCGACCCATGGTGACCCCAAACGAACGGTTGCCGCTTTGCCACGGGGTGGGATTTTTGGCCAACCAGATCTTCAACGAGCGCGCCTCGGAGCCCCGGGAGTGGACCTTCGTGCTGGCGGGAAAGCTGCCGAAGAAGGAGCCGCAGGGCCGAAGTTCGGCCGAGGTTCGGCCGACGTTCGGGCGGTTCCGCAGAAGAGATCCCTCAACAGTTATGGACGGACGAAATCCATTTCGCACCACCTGAGACTCCCTGGAATGATGATTCTCCTGTAAATACTAACAAACAAATGGTTTCCCAGGTTTCGAAGTGGTGCACGATTTTGTCTATCCACAGTAGGGCTCCCCCCCACCCTCACACCCTGTTTGACGTTTTTGTTTTTGTTTGCTTCGCCCCCTAAGGGGTCTGGGCGTTTCTCGAAAGGGTGGTTTTTCTTACAAAGCATTCAAGCGGATCCCCCTTTCTGAGAACCCCCGTTGGAGTTCACGTGATGTGCTGATCCACATGGTGGGGCCAAGGAGGGACTTACACCTATGCTTCCGGAGGGCGGGTGACCAAGACCCTTTGTTGGCGTTTGTGACTTTGACCTTTCATTGTGTTATCCAGTGAAACCATTTTCCCGTATAGGAAATCTGCTGGCTTCCTATACTGGCAACTCGGATCCACTGAGTTAGATTTTAAGGTGCAAGCAACTGGCCCAGAGTCAAGCATGTTTTATTTGTTTGCTTGACGGGACACGCGGCAGATTTGCTCTACGGGCCATTTTCAGTACATGTTGTGGCGTTCTTTGGTAAGGGTCCAACTAGTTTAAACACAAACCTAGTGTTGACACACACACACACACACATTTATGTGTACATATAGAAATGGGTGCATGCAGTTGAGACATACCTTGTTGTTTGTGTAAGTAGCTCTTTTGCTTGATGCATGTTCCAATCAACTCTGCCATGGTTTCTTGAGATGGGACTAGCAGTTGCGGTGAAGGCCCGTTCCATTGGCACCCTACTGGTCCAAGGCATCAATCTGGTTCCTTGAAGATAGGTGCTTACTTGGTGACACTGAGAATGGGCTCGGGCCCCGATTTTTCCGCAGCGGGATTCAGAATGGCTGAGGTTCGGGCAAATGTTATTTGAGCCACTACATCCTGCTGGTTGCTAAGTTGCACATCATATTTTTTAATTACCCAAAGGGAAGCCGACGGGGGATGAGTATTGTCCTCCAGTCGGCCACCCACTCTCACCCAATGCAGGGAAGCCCGAAGGACTACGGTGCAAACACGTTTCAACCAGTTGGCCCCCACTCCTGAGGCTGAGCAGCCCCCCCCCCCCAAAGCCCGCCAGTGTTCCCAGCAGTAGGGTGGTCTACAGGGGACTGACTGAAATGTCTGACAAAACCAGCGAACTCTTTTAACAAATTGTAATATGTCTAAAAAAAGAACATGTTTGTGAGGGCAAGCAAGTCATGTTGACTGTGGTGCACTGCCTGGGAATAATAGGAAGGCCCCCAAAGATGGTTGTGGTCATCCTTTTCATTTCCCTTGTCGCAAAAGTGAAATGCATCCCTCGAACACACATAGACACACACACACACACACACCAGCACAAGCACAAATCAAGACAAATGCAAAAACAACACACAACACACGCAAGCAAGCAAGCAAGCCAACCAGCCAGACAGCCAGCAGAAGCCAGCAAGCAAGCCAGCGCACGCACGCAAACTCAGACGCACACCCTCACACACACAAACAAAAGTTTCATCGGGTTTGGTATACGCTTTTGCAACTAGCTGGTTGGAAGGAATCCAAGAACACAAATTCGGGTCAGGAGAAGCTGCTGACGCTGCTGGAGACCTACTTAGGCTGCATCCCCAACAAGCCCCGTGGCTGCAAAGCGGTAGATCCTGCATTAAGTTCCTTTGCTGGAGGGGTATTGGACAAAGAATAGGAGGAAGGGCATGGCTTGAATAGCATGACACCAGTAACACCAATACACCAGAATCTAGGTTTCCCAGCCAGGTGCCAACTTTTTCCTTTTCTGTTTTGCCCCCACTCAAATTGACTACAGAACAAAAAATCGGGCACCCTTATTCCAACCTCTCAAATCTGGAGGACCTAGTTCATTTGCAGAGTGCCCAACTAGCCATCGGTTTTTGCCGAACCAACCCTCAGTCTTTAGATGAACCAACCAGCAGTTTGAGAGAAACCGACCAGAACTTTTAGAGGCTTTTTGGGGACCCCCTCAAAGGGGTTTCGTGCACAAGCTGGGTCCGCCAAAACACACATTCCTCCAAACATGAGGCTGTTTGTTTGGCTTCCATGTTGGCCTGCAGGAAAAGCACCGACAGTGGTTTGTATTGTGACACGGTCTCAAACAGACTTCAGGAACTTCGCAAAGCATCCGGCCCCCCAACCGTTCACTTCGATTTGCTTTCTCCCCTGCTTGTTTCAAGGGGCATTTATCAATTTGTTTTCCAGGCTGTTGTGTTCGGTCCCTGTTATTTGCCCCTGCCTAGTGTTGGGCAGCTGGGCAACCCGAGTTAGCGGGATCGCTGGATCTCCCAGTTAGGGCAAGGCCTTGCACCAGAATCGAAGGTTTTTTTCTGGGACAGAAGCTGACAGGTTCAGCCTTTTTGTTTGATATTCAATGGCGATATGGTCATGGGTCAAAATCCAGTACCCCCAGTGAACATCCCAATCCAACCACTAAAATAGACTAAAATGGGTGGTGCAAAATAGACTAAAATGGGTGGTGCACCTACCCCAAAATGGTACCATTGGTTTTGACCCACAGCCATTTAAGAACCCCGTGCCAACCAATTGGGTAGCTCAACTTGCGGCTCTTGCCCCAGCAGGTCGAGCATGTATCAGGAACGCGCTCCACTCCGGAAACGCTGACGCACTCAAAGTAGCACTCCATGGTGCATGCAGGGTTCTCAATGGCGCAGGTTTCATGTTTTTTTTACACTGAAGCCAGGCTTTGGGTATTGTTCAGATCTATACAATGCATTCTGAAAGCAACTACTGGAGATTGCGCCCAATGGTTTTTGGTCGTAGCGCTTCGGCGTAGAACCCAAAGGTCAAAAAGTAAGTCCGTCGGCACGTGAGGCCTTAGCTTACTGGGCTGACTCGTTGCAGTCTGAAACGTGGACCCGGCCATCTTCTTCTTCTTCTTCTTCTTCTTTTTCCGGAAAACCGGTCTCGCTTCGGCTTCAGGGGCACCAACGAGCGCCCGGATGACCTGGAAATGCGACAAGCCGTGACACCTCTGGACCGAGTTCGAATGTCTTCCACTTGGTGCACAGTCGCTTTGGAAAGTTGGCTTCCGAAAATCTAATTAGTGCATTATGTTGGTGGAAAGCTCAAACTTGAGTCTTATTTGCTGGACTGGTTACTGGGTGTTGTTGTACATCCCCTATGCCCAACCATGTGCCCCACGGTGTTCTCTTGTGCTTGCGTCGAAGGATTTCCTGTGTGGTTTCGTGTCAGCACTGTCCTTGCATTGAGCCACAACCCTAGCCCGCAGCGGTTAGTGAAGCTACAGAGGTGGGACAGCATGTGGGACAGCATTGTTAGATCCCAATTTGACGCGGGCGTTTGAGGGTGCTGTTTTTGGAGTTGTTTTCCAAAGCGCTTTCTTGGTGGGGTTCCCCTTATTTGGAGACCCGCCCGCCCACGCACGCACGCACAAACCCACCCACACACCCTCACACCCACACACCCACCCACCCACACACACACACACAAACAGACAATCACACAGACAAACAGACAGACACACAGACAGACACTCACACACACACAACACCCACACACACACAGACAGCACACAACACACACACACAACACCCACACACACACACAGACAACACACAACACACACACACCGCAACACACACACACCACGCAACACACACACACACGACAACACACAACACACGCACACACACACACACACACACACACACACACACACACACACACACACACACACACACACACACACACACACACACACACACCGCAACACACACACACACACCACGCAACACACACACACGACAACACACACACACACACGACAACACACACACACACACACACACACACACACACACACACACACACACACACACACACACACACACACACACACACACACACGCACACACACACACGCACACACGACAACACACACACACGACAACACACACACACACGACAACACACACACACACGACAACACACACACACACAAACTAGGTACACCGCCCGTAGTAGCCTGTGTCATATTGTGCGTTTTTTGGGCTTCGGAGCAATCTGTCGAAGCTGCGATTACAGGCGGAAACGGAGAGCACCGTTTGTCCCTCATGTAAAATGTGCCGAGACAGCGGGAAATTTCTTGCGTTCCCGAATCCCACTGGCACGCTGCTTTGAAAAGCTCATTTTTCCAGCCCCCAACTATCGTGTGTCAAGGATTTTGCCAACTTCAAGGCCGCATGTTGCCTGGGAACCGCATGAATGAATTTTCTTTTTAAAAATCGACAGGGGGGAGGGGTCCTTAGTCTGTTCTTCACCCAAAGGTGAACTCCCCAAATCTTTGTCGATTTTTTGGTTGCAGGCAACACACAGGCTTCTGAGGAGTCAGCATCGTGTGCCTGGCAGTTTGCCATGTTCAAGACCGCAGGTTGCCCGGGAACCGCATAATGAACTCTCTTTTCAACAGCTGACGGGGGGGAGGGTCCTTAGTCTGTTCTTCACCCAAAGCTTAATTCCCCAAATCTTTGTCGGTTTTTCGGTTGCAGGCAACACACAGGCTTCTGAGGAGTCAGCGTCGTGTACCAAGCAGTTTGCCATGTTCAAGACCGCATGTTGCCTGGGAACCGCATGATGAACTCTCTTTTCAATAGCTGACGGGGGGGAGGGGTCCTTAGTCTGTTCTTCACCCAAAGGTGAACTCCCCAAATCTTTGTCGGTTTTTTGGTTGCAGGCAACACACAGGCTTCTGAGGAGTCAGCGTCATGTGCCAAGCAGTTTGCCATGATCAAGACCGCGTGTTGCCTGGGAACCGCATGATGAACTCTGATTTCAAAAAAAGACGGGGGGAGGGGTCCTTAGTCTTCTTCACCCAAAGGTGAATTCCTGAAATCTTAGTCAACCTATGTGGGCATATTGTGACAGCAGACACATGGGGTCCGCTGGTTGACACGCAACGTCCAGAAGAAAGTCCAAGTAAGTGAAAAAAGGACCCAGCACCGAGTGTGTGGAGAAGCGATGCGAGATGCCAGCTAAACGCAGCAAGGTGATGAAGGCAAGCGCTAGACGAACGTCTTCTGACACCATGGTTTGGGCACAAGGAGCTACGGCAAAACAAGACAGCTCAGCACACTAAAAAAGAACACCACCCACTCCACAAAAACATGAAACAAAGAACTTCTTGTCAAGCAAAATCGAAGAAGTGACGCAATCATGCCCGCCCCACCCCCCACCCCCCACCAAAAAACAATCAAGCACAAACAAAACACGAAAAAATGAAGTTCAAGCACAAAGACACAAAAATGGAGTTCATCCCACGGGCGGCTGTGGGCGGTGGTCCCGCTACACACAACACATACAACACACACGACACACACACACACGCGCACGCAAACACACACACACACACACACACACACACACACACACACACACACACACACACACACACGCGCACCCGCACCCACAGACCCCCACACACACCCACCCACCCACAGACCCACCCACACCACCCACCCACCCACCCACCCACCCACCCACCCACCCACCCACCCCACCACCCACCCACCCACCCACCCACCCACCCACCCCCCACCCACCCACCCACCCACCCACCCACCCACCCACCCACCACCACCCACCACCCACCCACCCGCGCGCGCGCGCGCGCGCGCACGCACGCACGCACGCACGCACGCACGCACGCACGCACGCACACACACGCACACCCGCGCCTACAGACCCACACAAACACACACACCACACACACACACACACACACGTGGTTGAACGTAGCTAAACTGATCCCCACCCCCTAAGAAACAACATTCTGGGATGGGGCTGACTTCGGGAATTCCGTTTATGGTTACGTGTTCCCTTTTCTTTTCTGGGGGAGACTAGAATCAATTTGCAATTGGAAATGGTGGGTATCATGGGGTATCTAAACTGGCGCAGAATGAGGAACATCCTGATAGGGGTTGGTATGACCCAACCCAAGTGTTACGTGATGTTCTCAGCAGTGCAACCGAACAAGGGCCCAGGATTTTGGATTGTGTTTGGTTGATATGTTCTTGTCCAATTCACCAATTTGACCTGGGGAGCTCCAACAACTCACCGATGTGCGGGAGGACATCAAGTTCCCGGAGAAGTGCGTCCGGGAAGATGTGCACATTCGCATGGTCGAACCAAAGGCGGGAGTGCGAGACCTTTGCCCTGGTTTGGTGGGGTTTGGCCAGATGCCTCAAGGTTTCTGAAGTTCGGTGCAACGGCCGGCCGTTTTCTGATGAGAATCCCCAAAGTGACAAAGCAGTAATGGAAGTCAACCACTTTGCTGTAGAGAGGGTGCCGAAACCGGTGGTGCCCTGTTTTCCTTATTTTGGAGATTGTTCCCTCAAAATCAACTGCCCATGTAGAAGGGCGCCCATTTTTGGAGGTTGTTCCCTCAAAATCAACTGCCCATGTAGAAGGGCGCCCATTTTTGGCCCCATCCAGAGGTCTGTGATCCAAGAGCCTTGGCTCGGCTGGCCGGAAGCGTCATTCGTAACTTACCAGCGCCCAAAGTCCCATTGGCCAGTTTAGGGTAGTCAACCTTGATGAGCGGTTGCCCCAACCAACCCAGACTTTTTTTTTTGGTCGAGTCTTGCTTACAGAGTAGCTTCGCAGGGGTTATCGCAAGTTTCAGGAGCTGCTCACTTGTGCTATGGCTCAAAGGCCCCCCTTTACTTGGTACGGACGGTCATCAACACCGTAATAGGGATTATAGACTATCAATCTAAAGGTTCCTATTCGGGGACCCATCATACTGGAAGTCCTTCTGCGTAAGGTGTCCGGGTAGTTCTCTCGCCCTTGTTTTCTCGCACCAAACAGCCCCAACTCCAAAATGCCGATATTATTGGGCCGGGGATGTATCCTTGATCAAAGGGCGAATTGATCAAATACATCACCCCTGTCAGAATTGTGGAACGTCAGGTACCAACACTTATTGACAGAGTTCAGGGTTCAGACTGGCTAAAGTTGGATGCGGAAAGCAGATTTACGCATGAAGGGTAGCTTGGAAAGCTGATCTATTGCTTGCACACGCAGAAGCTTTGATTTCACAAGAGGAAGCCACATTAGCGACAATAACAAGGCCTTAGATGAAAGGCTTGCATCCCTGGTAACCAACGAACAACCCACTTGACGTGCCGCTTTCGCTGTACTAGCAGAAAGTGTTCACAACTCAATTTTAGAAGGAGTCGCCCTTTGTTCCAGGGGATATTTTGGATGTCTGACCAAAAGCCGTGCAGCTGGATGAACCACAAGTCACTAAATCAGGTGCCGCTTGAAACCACGCGTTTTCTTGGTCAAAACACATTGGTACCATTTTGGTGCACCACCCATGGTAGTCTATTTTAGTGGGGATTGGGATGTTCACTGGGGGGTAACCGAGATTTTGACCCATGGCCACATGTTTACGCACTTTTGAAGCCACCTTCAGCGGCCCTTGCCTTGCCCAGCAACAGGTCCACCAGGTCACGCGGTGTTTTTCTTTGGCCATGCGGACCGTCAGGGCAGCACAGTGCTGAGCTTCCCGCTGCGCCTGACCGCCAAAAGCAGCGAGGACCTTTGGCGCCCCGCGTTTGTGTCGCGCGGTGGAGTTTGTGCGGGTTTGGTCAGCGTTTTTGAGACCCTCGGGGTCGGGGCTGGTTTAAAGGGACACCAAAAGGAAACTAATGTTTGGGGCGCTCAATTTGGAGACAACAACCCCACCCCCCCACCCCTTTGTTCCAGTGGATCAGCCAAAAAGCACTTGCCTATATAAATATATAATATAATATAATATATATAATATATATATATATATGGTCCATTTGGGAGACGGGAGGACGAGCTCGCAATGTCTTGGGTGGGTACTCCCTTCGGATGTTTTGAAGTTACTTGCTTGTTTTTAGGTTCAACTCTGGACACCTGGATGCTTCCAAAGCTACATCGGTTTTCTCTTTGTCCTTGGCCGACGTTGTTCCCCCAGACCCAGAGCATGAATCCCAGAACCCTTCCGGAGCCCTGGCCTGGCATTCCAAACCACGCTGGAGCCGGCGGAGACTGCAGAGATTTCTGGGGCAACAAGCGAGTGGCAAGGTGCGGCATGGTCATCCCTCTCTGGTTATGAATTCAGTTCACCCCAGCAGGTAGACGGTACTGACACCATTCTGAGCAACCCCCAAAGTCGAGGGTCACACCAACAAACATGAAAGTGGACAGAGGGGTTCCCCAACAGGAAAGTAGTCTTCCAACCGCCTCCTGTCAGCTTCCAGGTTAGTCTGAGGGAGTGTACCCAACCCATTCGGAGGATGGACGTCAACGCAGAGGCTTCCCCCAGCATTCGATTTGGCCAGGACCAAAGCGCGTGCCAGGAGGAGCTTCGGGAGCTGATGCAGCTCCAGTACCTCGATATCGGTTGGCCGGGAGCGAGCCCGCTCAATGAATTTGGTTTGGGCGTAGAACCAAACGCATTAGACATCAATCAAAGATTAATTGGGGTGAACCTCCGTGGGGGGAGTTTACTACCAGGGTTTATAATCCTAGTTAATTTCCAAGAGAGGCCAAGCAAGCGTTTTTCGGTACCTTGCGATGTGAAGCCTTGCCTGCAGGACCAAAGCTGACCTCAAGGGGACCCAAAGGGGGGAGGCAGTTGTTCAACAGCTAAAGGTCCGGGTCAAAACGAGTGCCTTTGTGGTTGGGAGCCTGGAAAGGGTTGATGAGGACCATCCGCACCGAACCTGGCTGTTCCGTGCTATTGGGTTGGATCTTTAGACTTTAACTTTTTGGGAAATCAAGGGGTTTTCCACTAACCCCCCAAAAAGTTAAACTTTTTGCAGACAGAAGACACCATTAGGACTCAACCGCGAGCAACACAATTTCGAGTGTACAAAACGCAACGCAACAGGCAACAAACGCGGAGAGCAGGGAAAAATCCTTGTTATCCCATGAAATCTTTGACACCATAGAGTGTTATTAAGGTACAGTTGGGAAGCAACTTGTTGTTTGGTTTGCGATCCATTTGGCATGGATGAAATGGTTTGTGTCTAAGACTGGCTAAACCCTTGCTCCTTCCTCCGTCCTTTCTTCCTCCCGTCCTCTTGCTTTTCTCCTCCTCTTCCTCCTTTCCTTTCCTCCCTCTAGTTACTGCTTTCCGGTCGTCCTTCTTTCCTTTCTTTTCCTTTCATACAAACTTTCTTCCTTCCCTTCTTCCCTTCTTCCCTGCCTCTCTTTCTGCTCCTCTTCTTCTATTCCCGCAGTACTTGTAGAATGAGAAGTGTCAGAAAACACAAAATGCTGAAACACGATAGGGGACTCTCAAACCAAGTAGCGAAAAGGGCGCAAGTAAGTAATTTCGACCGGGCCTCATATGGGAAGTTCGGCAAAGCCCGGAGGCTTGTCAAATCCAAATGTGTGTTTGTGTTTGTGTTTTCTTTACAAGCGACCTGAAGAGCATACCTTGATGCTCACCTCCTGAGTAGACTAGCCACAAAGACCAGACTGTGTTTATCGCCACTGCGGTGATCTTCACGAAAAGCGACTGGAGACCAGAAGCTTGGGAAGTGAGTATCCAAAATCCAAACCCTGCTGTCGGAAAATCTTCAGGACGTCAATCGAATACCTAGCAGGCAGAGTGGATATGGAGTTTCCCTTGCTCGCCAAACACTTCAGGGTCCCTTCTTAAGACATGGGCCAAGCTTTTGGGTAGATGGGTGGTTACTCACAGAACGATTGGTGAACTGATTGGGTTCAACATGGTTCAACCCGTAGAAAACTCGAAGTCTCAGGCTGCTAGTCCGCCTGCTGGAGACACGCCTGGTGGAAGTCTTGCGCTTCCGACGTGGGCAGGCCATTCCGGCCAAAGTGTCCGAAGGGTCCGCGCAGGGCGTGCCCATTTTGGAAGGGCTCTTCCCAGCAGGGTGAGGGATCTGTGACATACCTCGCTGGCTTTTAGGGACCCCACTAAGTTTGGACAGGTGTTTGTTTCCAAATGTATAACCCCAGGATGCAATGCACCGACTTGATCAGAAGAGAAACCAAGAGGACGCCAACCAATTCTGGGGTCTTTGAGAAACACACAAGTAGGGAACAACCTGAATCCTTTGGGCGTTCTTGCGGACACACCCTGGGGCGAGGACTAGGGGCAGCCCAAACCTGTTGGTTTTCCTTCAATATAACCTGAACATACTTTCAAATAGACTCACACACTTGAGCAGAAGCTGATGCAGCCCTAGTGACAGGGCTTTTTTTTTGCCAGACGTCTCCTTCTTGGACCCTTAGACGGTCAAGCGGATGCTCCAGGTGATAAATTCGGGTGAGACACAGCTACTTGTCTGCTTTTGGCTGCCCCCCTTGTGAACAAAAGCCAGCAGTTTGCCTTATCTGTAGGGCCCAGAAACAAATGATGAAAGGATCCCGCAACCGAGCAACCACCGACCAACCAACCGACCAACCAACCGACTACCGACCGACCAACCGAGCCACAGACCACGAACCAACAAATCAATCACAACCACTTATTTGAATGTCAAACAAGCGAATCTATCATCTAAGCATTCACCAACTCAGAACCAACAAGCAACAAGTCAAGCAATTACGCATGCCAGCGAGCAAGCAATCAAGCAAGAGCAATTAAAGTCAAGAAAGCAGAAGGATCAAGCCAGCCGCCGAACCATTGATAGCACAATCAGCCAATCAACAGCACAATTGCAAACACAATCAAAAGAGCAGAGCTGTGCATTGCCACGTTGGGCAGAGGGCAATGCTTACCATGCTGATCAAAACCCGATCCCACCCACCAGCTGGCAGAAGCCTACGTGCCCTTGAGGCTAAATTTCAGGAACTTACCAAAATGGACCCGATTGCAAGATCAGACGCACTCAAGTTCTTGACCTTCCAAGTGTTCATTCTCTCCTCGCTTGCCCACCGTGAATCGACCTTTTGACCTTTTGGTTTCCGCTTTCTGGTCCATCTACATCCAGGTCCTTTGGGCATCTGAGTGTCACCCGGGGCGTCTCAAATCTTTCACCCCGTGTTTTCACCCAAGAAAGGTGTCCTTGTTAACACAAATCAAGGTGTCCTTGTTGTGCTCTTTACGAGGGGTCTCCTCCAAGAGCCATTTATATTTCTGGGTCGGCAACATATGAACCATAAAATGCGGATGTTCTGTGCGCAGATGTGGGCCCCTGGTTCGTCCTTTCCGGTGCCCCTGACAGCGGCAAGACGCCACGTCGGGGGTGGGATGCGAGCCGATGCGAGGTCTACAGCGTGGCGGTGGGCACGGACCTGGCACTGTCGCCTCCGCAGATGGGCCAGCCCCGGCGCGGCACCATCAGCCCCTGAGCCGACTTGGACGGAGGGCATAGCAGATCCCCCCAAAAAAACATGGAATTGGGGAGGGGGGTGACCCCTGGAATTCCATTTGTGGTTCCATTTTCCCTCCATGGGGAAGACTAGATAAATGTAATTGGGGACCCCCCACCCTCCTCCTGTGGGTGATGAATTCCTCCAGGAACCAAATTGGGTGCTTCTCAACATTGCGATTCGACGTATTAAGGGAAGCCCAGAAATGGAAGCCAAGCATTTTGGGGACCCCCTATGACACGCCTTTCTTGAGACTCACCCAATTATCAACTGGTGCTAGATTTCAGAGCCCTGAGACTTCAACTTGGATTAGACAGTGGAAACCCAGGCTGAACAGGTTGTTGGTTGGTTAAGAAGGGGATGTCCCGTTTGAGAGGGAAGACGATATTTTTCTGGGGGACTCCCTCAAAATGCTCCACCGGGCGACATTATAGCACATTGTTTTGCAACATTGTGACAGAGAGGGCGACTCATACACCAATAGATTTAGCCATAGACTTGCGTATTCAATGATAACCTTCCGCCCCAAAGAGACACCCAACTAGGAAAACGTACATAAGTTGAAGGCCTGACAAATGTTGCACACTCTGTGGAGTTTGCCAAATGGAACATATTGCTACTTGGAACTCCAACAGGTGCATAGATTCTGAGTGAATGTCAGACGGGCGCATTTCCCGGGTGCGTTCATACCCCAGTGACCAGGACCCCAAGAGAGATCTCACAAACAACCTTGGGAAAAAACGGACTTGGCATTCGTGGCAAACAGCCACTAGACACTGTATGGGTGTATACCCAACCTTTCCCTGGGTTTCAATGGTGCGCTTTGTCGCTGCAAAGAGATACGGCTTCCAGGATCTTCTCCATTCGCAGCCCTGGAAAACAGGCCCAGGCTGAACATGGGACATGCGACCTCACGTAAGACAAGCTGGACGGCGTGGCTGCGGTTGGGTAGAACCTCTTGGATTTCTTTCGGACATCACGGTGATCTAAACGACCACCGTTCGGAAAGTCCACTTCTTGATGTTGTTTTCCAGGTTGGGCATCTAGTCTTCATCTTGAACATCCAACATTGCCGGGTCAAACATCTCCATCTCGAAAAAACGGGTCCGTTTTGTGTACCAACACCTCCCCTCCCCACCGACCCGACCCGACGCCCGGCGCCCGACGCCCGACGCTCGTTCGATCGGATGCGAGGCGTGAGCTTCGAGTGCGACCCGGAGGAGTCCGATGAGCTCGTGGCGGCCACGCGAGAGGCACGGAGCTGTCGTCGCCTAACGCCGCCTTGGGAAGGAGAAGTGGAATGACATTTAGGGATTCGGGGAAGGAAACCAGTTGGATTCCCAAGGAAACCACCAGTTGGATGGGCTTATATATATTTTTATCATATATTTTTTCGTAGTCATTCCATTTCTCATTCCCTGAGCGCCAGTAAGTCACTCCTGGCTGTACTATATATGTTTTTTGGGAGAAAGTCAGGGGGTATCTATCTTTACTTGCCACAAAACAAGGAGCAAATGAGAGCTTTCATGCAACCAGACAACACGGGACATGAATCCCTACATATACATGGTGTGAACATCTAGGTTGTTTGTGCATGTATACAGTGTTTGAACATGGGTAACATGGGAGGCCGCCTGAAAAACGAGAGGCTGGCTCACAATATATCCCAGACCTTGAGTGAGGCTGGAGGTCTGGGGTATGGTCCAAGCCACTATGGGCCGCCTTTCAGAATTCGAAAGAAAGCCCACAAGGAGCCAAGAAATATAGGCCCCATGTCTATGTGGTTCCTTGTGGTTTGTTCATTACTAGTTTTTTGGCCATACTTTAGCTCAAAATGGGGCCGTTTCCTATAGCACAAGGAACCATTTTCTTTGAGAAACCATTCCTTTGCCCATGTCCATCAGAGTCTTTTCTGGGAGGGTCCAGTTCCGTGTGGCTCCCTCCGCAACGAGCCGGTGGTTCTCTTCGCACTTCGCTTCTTGCGCTCCAAGACATCGAAGTTAGACCCAGGCCCATCTGTTTGATGCTGCTTGGAAGGGGCGTTCCCTTTAGGAAAAAAAAAAAACGCCAAAAGCCAAAGGGTGCCCTGTTTCCCCATGGCCACAGGGGGTTTGGGCAAAGCAGCAGGGACAACCAGAAAGAACCAGGGGTTCGGCGACTTTCCCAGTGATCTTCCTCACATCCGAGCCAAGCAGAAAATGTGGATGGTTTCCTTGGCTTTCGAATGTCCATCTCCCTAGCCTTCCAAAGATTTTGCTCCGTGGGTTCTCGAAAACAATTTTGGGGGTGGGAAACCCCCTTAAACCAACAGGTAGATTGAGGGTGTCTCACTCAAATGGATCCATGCGAAAATGGCCAAAAATGGTAGGTCTTCTTCTGGTTTCCTTTGAAACCAAGGTGAAATGGGCACCCTCAAAGAAAACCCGCGCACACACGCACACACAAATGGGGCCGTTCGACTCCAGGAGCTGCAGAGGCTTCGAGACGGCACTGCGGCATTGACGCCGGAGAATGTGCAAGCGGCGGTCGAGCAGGAGAACAGCAGGTTTTGTGGGTGCCCCTTTTTGGGTGGTGGTATTGATCCAAAGGCAACTTCAACATTTTGGGGAAACGTTGCGGGCCCATTCAGCACACACCCCAATTGAGGATTTGGACCCCATGAGCGTGAGCTTAAGAATTACTGCATTTTCTCATGTGATCGTGACTTAGCTTCATTTGACAGTTCCCCGCAACTCCAATCGTCGAGGCGCTAACAACGAGCGGCTGGCTTCAAACGAGGGGCTCCAGTTGAACAGCAGGCGATTGCTTTTTGTTGGATAAGGGCTGGCTGAAACCGGACAGCGCTTTTGGATTTGGTGTTCATTTACGTTGCTCTGATAGGACATAGAACATATACGGGGGAGCTTTGGAACAAACCAATCAAGGGTATCAAAGAACAAGACCCATTTCTTTCATCAGGCATCCCTAGGTTCATCGTTTCTCGTAGCTTCCACAGGGTTTTAACAATATACTGGGGACTGGCACAGATCCCCTTTTAAGCCAGCATTTGTTTGATTGTTTGAAGGAATCCAGAGCTCATGATCAAGGTGCTTCACAAATGGATCCCAGATTTCCTGACGTTCAACGTGGCAATGTTCGCCGAGTTGTTTGGGTGCGAGTTTTGAAGGGAACCGAAGGGAATCCTTTGCTTTTTATTCCTCGGGATTGGGTCGATGAAGCTGGCCGAGGGCTTCAGAGTTCATGTTCTCTCATTTGTCTAGCTACCCCAGTTTTTTTCAGTGTCACCCTCTTCCCAACTTTGTCTCCTGTTGTCTTATTCTTTTGCCAAGAACTGGTCAACCTTTTTTTGAGCACAAGGCATTGGTCCACCAACCCAAGGGCTTCGTTTCGGTCAGGACCGCCGGGAGTTCGAAGAGCTCGTGCACACCAACAGCCGCCAGACATGACCCGTCAGAACCGTCCTAAAGCTTGGGGTCACAGCTTGGTTCGACCGGATCTGATGTTTTGGTTTCGATTCGCTAAAGTTTTGGGGGGTGGTCACAGCGAATCGACCGGATCTGTTTTGGTTTCCCGGATTCGGTAAATCTTAGTTCATCAAAAAGGCGAAGCTTCTGCTTCGGGGTCCTTTGGGCAGCTGAGGTTGCCCTCCAAAAGGGATGTTCCACAAAGGGAGCGCCCGATGAACGTCAACCAGGAGACACGTGGTGTAAGCGTTGCTTGAATGCTACGGGGTTCCTTGCAAGGTTCTGGAACTTGGCATTTTTGGAGATGGTTGAAAACAAGTTGTCATTGTGAAAAAAATGGGAACTCCAGTTGACAGAAGGTTGTGGAACTTGGGCAGTGGGGAAACCACCAATTCCTTTTCTTTGGTGCATGTTGCTTGAATGTTAGGACTTTAACTTTTTGCCAACCAATTGGTTTTCCGTAGCCATTTGGCTCAAGAGAGAAGATGTTTGCACAGACGCCATCAGCCAGTAGCAACTTTCCCTTGATCGCCCAAGCCGTAGAGAAAATGGAATCGCAGGAGATAGTCTCAAAGATCTTGAACGCTCAAGAAGAGATTTACGCAAGTGGACGGACTTTTTGGCTCTCTCAAATCAGCGGAGCCATGTTGGAAACCATCCAGAGGCACAACCTCGTTGGATTTTTCAAGTGCCCAATTCGGTTTTTTATCCTCGTCTCTGAGACAAAACCGGTGATTGTGGAACAGGACATGGTAATCGGGCTGACTCAGACGCAAAAACGAAAAGTCATTTGCGGAGAGTTAGCCTATCAGCACATGATCAGCTTTATTCCAGACCTCGAAGTGGAAGAGACATCTGTAGGGGAAAGAGTTCAGAAACGATCAATCACGTCTGCGCTTTCTACTTGGACAGCTGCCCAAATGCTTGCATTCTTCTGGCTGCGCGAGTCATTTTGAAGAGCGAGAACAGTTCGGTGAGCGTGGGAAAATGACGCACCCTCTGGAAGCAGAGACTCAGGCAGTTTGAAGTTTAGTGAACCTGGAAGAGTCATTTTCCAAAGGCTGGAAGGAAACGGAGACCCAGTTCTCGAAGCCGAAGACGAAGAGTTCTTCGTTGAAGATGCTTCCAACACAGCTCGGGTTTCCGCTCTTCTCAATCATGGTGTTCTCGAAGCGGAAGACGTTCGAATGATGATGGGCCAAGTCGACCATTTGATGGGGTCGAATTCAGTTCATTTCACCATAAGCGGATACGTTTTGATGCAAGTGGCTTTGCGAACAGGCCCGCTCGAAGCTTTGCATCTCCATCTGACTGAGTCTCCCGAGAACGCGGGGCTTCTCTCGCCTCAATTTTTTCTCCTCGAACTTCCGATCTTCCCAATCTCAGAGACTTGTACGTGTGGTTCAACTTCCGCAGCGTTGTAAATTCGTTTCATTTTTTCGGAAGCACAAAACCCGATTTGACTGCGTTTGCTCGGGACAGAAGTCTGGTGACCTTTCCCTCCTTTTCCTGACGTCGAAATTACGTTGGACCACATTCGAGGGTCCCCAAGCTTGTACGTTAGAGACGTTTCGAAGTTTACGAATTTCGTCTGAATTCTTTTTTTGCAATCGGCGAAGGCTTTCAAGAAGAAAGCAGAGATAATCATGCAAGATACACTTCCTAATTCACTGACTCAGAATCCATCGCGAAGCAAATTCGCAATAAACTCGCAATTGCGAGACGCATGAGTTTGTGGATTCAGATTCCGAGTGAAAGTTTGAACCGGCTGATGTGGTCTGTTTTCACAATATCATCCCTTCACGCGGCAACTTGGTCGTGCTTCGCCCAGTAATGGACGCGAATGAAGCCATGGCAGGTCTGACGAATCGCGTCCGCAAGATGATTGCGTTGCCCCGCCGCACGCTCATGATGCCAAAGGGGGCAATGCATTCGTGAAGGACTGGTGCAGCTACGCTCAGGTGGGAGACCAGATTCTCTTCCAAGCTGGCTGGGCTCATTGCGGTTGCTGACTTGCCAGGTGCCAGTTGATTCCCCGATCCATGCCAGGATTTGGAACAACAGCAGCCACCTCCTCGGCCCGTCAGTTGATCGACCACACGCAGATCCTCACGTGCAGAGTTCTTTGCGGGAGCATTCGGAGGTTGGCGCCATGTATAGCTACATCTCCCGCGGCGCCAGACTTTGGTTCTATGGAGCAGGTCCTTGACCTTACGGAACCAACACATGCTCATCCAGCTGCTCTGGAAACCGGCGGGTTTGCAACTAGAGCGCAGAGTCGTTGTTATTCATTCGCTATCCCCTGCCAGACTCTGAATGCCTTCAGCGTTCCGGTTGGAGCGGGCAGCGAGCATGAATTGTAGTCCGAGGACGGCCGGCCAGCATCTGCTGTGAGCTGTAGTTTTGCCCATCGTGCTTGAGCCGGGGCTACCTTTTTCAAACGCCCTGAACTCCTGCACAGATTTCATGATCAGACACTGTGCTTGGCTTCAATGCCACTGCGGAGTGTAGTTCCTTTTTTGGTCTCAATAGTGTCACATCATCGGATGTCTCCGGCTGCACATAGCGGGCCGTAGGGGCAACAGGAGCAAGCGTGCGATTAACCACTAAAGGTTAAACCTTTTAGCAGACCATCAATACCCAGGGGAAACAGCTGTTTTTGAAAAGAACAATGGTTGAAAAGAATGGGGAATCAACCTGTAGAGTTGTGGGGAAACCAGCAATTCTGTTTGAGGGCTGAAACGCCTGCGAGGCTGGTGGGCCGGGACCACGCTGGACCTCTACTTCTCCCGGTGCTACGTGGCGCACCGCGACATCGGCAGCTCCATGGCGCTCTGGTGGCGCGTGCGCCAGGCGGGGTTTGGAATGGAAGGGACAAGCGGAGGTCCAACGCGTTTTGGGTGGAGGTGTAATCTGAAGTTGTAAATTCAATATATGTATATGTGTATCTTTATTGATGTTGTCTAAATATGTATATATATATATATATCTGTGTGTTGATATATTTATACATGTTCATGCTATGTCCTTTCTTGCGGGGCCGACCATGTATGTATATATATATACGTATGTATATATATATACATATACATAGTGGGCAAGGAACTAACAAAGGTTTTCAAACATGAGAAGGACAGTCCGAGAGGGGAAGGGGGGAACCAGGTTGTTTTAAATATCCCGTGGTTGGAAAGCGATTGTTCTGCTTTCAATTGAGTGTCTGGCTGGTGATCTCTTAATCTTTAGTTGCTTTGGTTCACTAAACATGGGGAGTCACACATCTGATTTTGGAGTGGGGAGCACAAGCTGAGGTGAGATGGAAAGGGAGAGAAGGGAGAGAAAGACCGGATGGATCCTTGTTGGGTTTACGAAGGATGGTGGCGAAGACTTGCTTGGCGAGCAAACAAAAAGGAAACAGGTAAGGTTTTGCCGTGTTGAACACACCCGCTTTGCAAAACCATAGTTGGCTCAAAGATTCCGTGGAAGGGTTCCCTAGTTCCGGCGACACCGTTCACCGTTTGAGCGTGTGCCTGAGGTTCCCAAGCATGGCCCTTCCCAGGGATCCTGACATTGAGGGCCGAAAGCGCTATAGTTGCACTGACGGAGAATCCTGAGTGGTGCCTTTGTAGACTATCCAGAAAAAGAGTGCTTCCCTCATGGCCAGGTGGGTGATTGATCTACAGAAAACAACATGAACCCCAGCTAGGAAGAAACTGACCCAGCTTTTGAGCAAGTCTCAATCCGCACACGCATTCGCATCCTTACGCACGTAACCCTTGTTTGGGGGGGTTCACCACCAGACCTGGAAAGGAATTCCTTTTTTTACTTACTACTTTTTTTGGATCCTCAGCAGCAGTTGTACTCGGCAAGGGTGGCTTCCCTATGATGTTCGAAGAAGTGCATACACACAGACATACATACATGCAGACATACATAAACAGAAAGGAGAACACTTGCCGGAGAGGAACTGGTGATGCTGAGGATGCGGGGAGCCAACACGGTGGTGTCCCTTTTGGCTTCGGGTTAAACCCACCCCAAATCCGCGGGTGCCACCGAAACTGCTCACGCCGTCCCGTGGAGCAGCTAAGCCCACCCCAAACAGGGTACGCTCAAGCTTTGGTGCATTTTGTTTGGATGTTAGGACTCTATCCTTTTGCCAACTAATGGGTTTTTCCATGAAACCACTAAAAGTTAAACTTTTGCAGGGGAGCAGAAAGCAACCAAGCAAGGAAACACCCAACATCCACATGGCTATGAGTCAAAACCCCGTATCCCCAGTGAATATCCAAATTCAACCACTAAAATAGGTAAAATGGGTGGTGGTGAATTCACCTAACCCAAAATGGGATCCCAAAACGGTTTTGACCCACAGCCACAGATCCGAAACAGATCCAACCAAGCCACAAAGGGTATCAAAGGTACCCGTGGAGACCACAACAAGCCCAGCCAAACCCACCCCAAAAAGTTGCTACGCTCAGCAAAAACGCCCAGAGATCCGCCAGGAGGTGCTGCAATCCTTCGACGCGTCTCTGGGGCAGCAGCTGCTGCAGCGGGCAGTGCCCGAGACTGGCACCTCGGTCTGCGTGGCCATGCGGCCCAAGGGCGGCAAGGCGCGGGGGAGAACCCCAACGGCCGGGGGGCTTCTTTGGGGGCCTGGGGTATTCTAGGTCCCCAGAGTAGTGCGCTTTTCCCCCCTTCTTTGGGGGAGGGGTCCCCGACAAAAGAAACTACAGAAAAAAAATCGGGATTTGTAACAAAAGGAATTTGGGCACTTGCTTTAAAAAAACATGTACACATATCTCCGGATGTAAAACAAATATACAAAATTGGGCAAATGAAAAACATGACAAACAACTATCCCCGGATGTCCCATAACAAAAAATGAAGCTATTTTGAGTGCCGGCTGAGCAAGAACGCACTAAAGTACTTGATTTGGATCCGGATCCCGGTGGGTTTTTGGATGTCTCTTGTAAGAAACCCAGATCCCCACCGTAAAGTGGAGTTGGGGGCGGGCATGGATGGAGGGTTGATTCTGTATTTTCTTGTGTTTTTTGGGGAGTCGGTTCTTTTGGCGCTTGCAGCGTGCTGTTTTTGTTTCTCACTATACAGGCAACGGGTGGGATTTCGGGTGTGTGGCCTTTCCAACACTCCAGATTATTTATCCACATGCGCCGTCCAGATGGATCAAATGTAGGCGTATAATACGTCACAGGGGGCGCTTGTTGCTTGCAGTTTTGGTTTTGCTGTGTGCTGCTTGCTGTGCTGCTTGCTGTGCTGCTGCTGCTGCCGCCGCCGCTGCTGCTGCTGCTGCTGTTGATTCTGTTTGAAGATTATGGGGGCTGCCGGCCGCGCCTGACAAGAAGGGTTGGCTGTGAAGGGTTTCGGCTGTTTGGAAGAGCCTTCTCAAATTGACATGACATGGAATCTTCGCAGTCCAAATGCGACATTTTTGAGAAGGCTCACGTTTGAGTTGTTGATGCATCTGGGGTGAACATAAGCCAGTGCAAAACTGGCATTGACAACACGCTTACTTGTGGTTGTTTGTTCTTTTGTCGTTTGGATTGAATTGGAGGGAGGAGTTGTCAGGGGCACATGTGTTTCGGTTGGGCCGGCTGGAACCGCGCAGGTGACACCTGCGGCCAGTGAAGATTAGCGAGCGAAGCAAAGCGAACACATGCCCCAGAGTTAGTATCAGGAACTCTGTATTTTCTGATAGCCTCTTAAAGTTATGACACATGTTGGTGTTAAAGTTCGCTACAACCCAATTCTATTTATTAGGCCTTACAGTTCAGTTTGGACGTGACATTTCTCAGGTTTGGATTGGTGGTGTGGATTTTTGGTTGGATTGGGCGTCCAAACCACTATTCGAAACCACCTCGCAGAGCTATGGGGTCGCCGATTTGCTGTATACACCCGGACAAATTTTAGAGCGCCCACCGATTCGAGAATATTCGAGCTCACCATCATGAAGGTACTTTCCCGGGGGGAGGTTCCCTTGTAAACTGGGGTCAACCCTTGTGCTGAGGATATTGCAGACCGCTCGCCCATGGCAGTTTTGCTGTCAAAGATACTCTCCAGACTTTCCAGGGCACTTCCAAGGTACAGGTCTTATCGGAATTTACCAGGAACTGGAAACTTGTGGACGGGGCACCCCTGTGAGTGGGTTGGCTTTCGCTCGCTCAGTGTTCTGCTTGCTTCAAGCTGAAGCGCGGGCTGAACGTTGCTGCCCCTTGTCTTCCGCCAATGGCAAGCCGAAGCATCGTTCACTGGGTTTGCACAGACACCCTTGGTACCAGCTGATGTGAGGGGTCAAAATTGGGTCAAAGTAAATCGTCAGGTGCCTGCACACGCAGGGTGTTGGATATTCCATTCACTTTTGCAAGTATGCAAGGGAAGTTATCCCGAGTGTCCCACGTGGAACCATGATCATAGCCCACGTACTGAGTGGCTACTCCCAAATAAAGTTATGACTGTATGCACTTGGGAGGTTTTCAGGATGAGAGTCATTCCCGTTAGCCATGCCTTGTCAGGCTTCATTTTCGAAATGCCTCTTTCCTAGAAGGGTCATCTTTGTGGCACAGAAACTTGGGACTTAATATGTGTTTTGTTTGCAGCAAGGCCAATCTACGGTGAGCACGCTTGAAAGGTGTACTGAATATTAGCGGAGTCAAACAAATCTTCCCGTATTGTGCCACATTCCTAGCGGATTTTGAAGCCTTGATGTTGCAGATGATGGGCAGAGAAGCGTGAGAGTTAACGCAGGCGCAAGTCCCGGCATGAATGAATGGCCAGTGGACAAGCGAAGTCGCGCTTGGGAAAAAGATGTTCATCCAGGGTTCCGTCAAATTTTCCTTAAGACTTGACAACGTCAGGGGTTCCCCATGCTTAGTACAGCAAGCGCTTGCTCCGTTGTGCAGTAGTTTCCTTGTTCTTGCTAGTGCCTATGCGACAAGAAACATGTGTTTTCGGTGACTGAGAAAGCGGAAGCCGGGGTTCGAGTAGATGGGAAATAACACTAGACAGAACTTTGCAGCTTGGCCCGAGTCCGTTTCAGGACTCAGCTCAACGTGGTTGACAGACGCCTATCTTTGTTTCGACATGGTCCGGTTCATGTTGGTTTCCTTCAAAGAACAAGTACCCCACAGATATATATATATATATACATATGTGCATTATAGTTATTCGAAGTTTCAGGCGGAGGGGGTCGCCAATTTGGTCTTCGAAGTTTCAGGCGGAGGGGGTCGCCAATTTGGTCCCCGATGACATATAGTGCTTTGTTGACCATTGCATATGCAGCATGCATAGCACTGGCGCCAGGTTTATTGCCAGACTTGTTTCTGCGAGCTTGTTTGCTGTTCCTTCTAAATGCGTTTCTGGTTGATGTTTTGTTGGAGTTTCAGCATGTTGTTGCCCTCGTCTTTTTTAGGGGCTGTGGCCAGTATGGCCAAAATCAATCCTCATATCCGCGGTTCCTGACCAGGCATTGACGGTAGTGGGGCAGTTGCTTGGCTTATTCAAGACCTTGCACCACTCACGATGTCAGGCGATGCGCACGTAGGTGCTTTTCCCGAAATCCGCTTTGCAAGATGAAGAAGGGCAACGTCCAACAATACAACTCGCAAGGAACTGCCGGTTGGAGGACCCGTCTTTGGGATTATGTGAGTTTGCAGGGGGGTGTTCACCGTGTGCTGCTGTTTGTCGCTGACGCACACCCAGCTTGGGCAGCTCTTGACCCTTGGATGTTCATGTTTGAGGGAGCTTCATGCTTGGAACTTGGGTCCACTGTCTGTACGAGATTCCAATTGAATGTGATGGAGTGATGGGGATGGCCATCGGTATCACAGGAGTTGTTATCCAGAGCCACCCAGTTGGGAAGGGAATAAGAAGAACGGCGCTTTCAAGCAAAGCTTTTCTACTGCGCGCGCGGAGCGTGAGGGCCGCAGGCGCCGCATTTGAAGTTGATTTAGCATTTGAAGGCTTGCCAATTAAATCGGTGTTTCTCAGCATAGTTGTCCCCGAAAACAGCTTCTTTCGTTTTGGCATCCCTTGCACTTCCAACCAAAAGGTCCAGCATGTTGAGCCACCCGGAAAAAGACAGATCAGAATCGAGCAGACAACAGCTGAAGTAAGCAAGTTCCGGGAATACGGGAAGGGGAAGGCATCAACGGGACAAATCCGGAAACAACAATGCGCCTGAGGGTTCAAGTAGCTTCTGATGTACAGACACGGGTCAAAGCACATTGTCAGGGCGCTCTTTGAGAGGTGACAGCTGGATGCTGTCTCTGTGTCACAACATATATGTTCAGCAGAGCTTTAATGTTTCTGCGTTCACAATCACAAGCGTTTCAAGCAAAAGTCGCTGCCAACTTTTGCAAAACTGCGCAGGCTACATACGAGCTACAACCTTGAGGGCAGCCAATTGGACGATGAATGCGCATCAAGTCGCCTGTACATTCCCGCTCTCGGCTCAAGCGGGAGGTTTTCCTCCGCGGGCCTCAGCCGGCCCAAGGCAACTTGAGTCAAACAAACCACATGCTATGCATGAAGCCTTATGGATCCGCCCCTGTAGCCCTTGTCTGATTTGTTGTATGTTGTTTTTTTCTTCTGCTTTGTGCTGCCCCCCCTGGATTCGCACAGTCCGCGTTTGAGACTGTGAAGGACAGCATTCAGCAGCGTTTGTGGAGTTTGACCTTCACAGAGCTGTGGCCTTCCTTGAAGCAGTGTCTTGTTTTAAAGCGACTGTGAGCTCGTTGAACTGCTAAGCCACAAGGGATCTAATCTCCGGAAAGCGGCGTCTTTTGATTTTTGGCAGCGATGCCCAGTTCTGACATGGCGGTGTGGAGGACGCGATCCCACTGGTGGGAGGTGGTCACCTTAAGTCATGGGCCTTTGACTCAGTGACCCGTGGCGCATGTTCTCGGCCAAGTCCTCTGGGGCCGCTTTAGGTGGTTCCGCGACCTGGTTTATGGGGATCGAGTATACTAGGGCCCCTATAAGCCATGAACAGTTTCATGGTACCCGCGAACAAATAGGTTGGGCGCTGCTCACCGGTGGATCACCTGAGCATGTTCCCCAAAATTGGCGACGTTCGAATTCTTACGTCACCGAGCCAGAAGCGGTCAATTCTCAAAAATCACCCACGTTGGTTTTACTCCACCCTTCGCAGTTTCGCAGAAACAAACCGGCACACACTTCTTGAGCTCCTTGCGGGCCAGCGTCATGGAGCCCCCAAAGAGCCCGCAGCAAGCATGAGAATGATCAGGTGGGGATGCGGCCTTGCTTGTGGAGCAAACGACACTTGAGCTGCCTATGGCAACTGGTTCCAGCTGGTAAGGGCGTCACCTTCGTGAGGAACATCAGGTCAGCTTTACGAAGGCCCACTGCCTCAGAAGTTTGGTTTTGACCTTTCTATTAGGCGTGCCTGCGGTGCGGAGGCGATGGGCACTTCAGCCCGGGAGTATCAGAAGAGCACATGCAAAAGCCAGTGCCAGCGTTGTCAATTGCCTTGGGCCCGGGTTTCGAAAGGATGTGGGTTTTTGGATTTCGAAAGGATGTGGTTTAAAGGCAAAAGCGTCTCATCCCCTTCAGGCCTGGATTTCTCACTTTGATCTCAGGTTTCGATAGAATGTGATTCTTTTGCGGTGGTTTCACATTGGATTATGGGTTAGACTTGGCCTTCAACAGATTTCCCAGTATTTATAGGTTTGCCTGTGAGCGAAATCGACGGTATGCATTCACAAACGTGCTCACGGTTCTCAAAATAGGGTCCCCTGAAATGCTTTCCGTTGTATTCTCCCTTGAATATCAAGCAGAACGCGTGCACCATGTTGAGAAACTTGCTGTGGTTTTCTTCGGTTTGTCTTTTGCATGGGGGTTCGGCCAAGCGACTGACCCGCGCTTAGAGCATCCCCCCGGTTTCCAGCGGTCAACAAGTTGTTTGTGTATTCCGTGGTGTGACTTGTTGCGTCGTTTGATGTGGTTGATGCTCCTCATTTTCGGGAGCATTTCTTTCTTGTCGGCCTGGAATGCTTTTCTGATTGGCCCTTTGCGCTAAAAGAGAGCGCCAAAGGTTAGGTGCTGAATGATTAACCCACATTACCCTCTTCCGATCATGATTGCGGTTTTAAGTACTCTACAACCCCATTCTAATTTGTTAGTCCCTTATAGTACCCCTTCCAGTCGGATTTGGCTACGTCGCGATTTGGCAGGACAAGTCTCCTACTGCTGCTCGCGCTGGCAGGCTGGAAAAGGGTGGCCCATATCAGTTGTCTAAGACTTAATATGATTCATTACCAAGCATGTCAGCTGTCTCTTGACCCCTGCAAAGGCGTCTAATGGGAAAGAAGCGGCCTCATTTGTAGGGGCGCCTAATTTGAATCAACAACATGTTGCTCCTATGAGCATGACTTCGCTGGGTTCCAAAGCAGCCCGCGACCCCGTTGTAAAGTTTTTGACCCTTTCTCCAACACACATGAAAATGGACAGGTGTCGGCCGTGCCAAGAGAAAAGCTGGAGTGCCCGTGCAGGCTACTTTAACTCCACATGTCATGAGTAGGAGTAAACTTCTATAGCATGGGTCCCCATTCCGACCGAACAATTGTATGTACTGGAAGCTCAGAATGGGACACGTCGAAATAGAAAAGGGGGGTGGGAAAAAACGAAAGCAATCCTAACAAAATACCCCTGCATAGAAAGTTAAGTAGTATTTCAGCCCCGATGTCGGTGTTCAGCTACTGGCTCTCGCCTCTCAGGTGCAGAGCCCTCGCGCCTGGTGTTGCCCCTCAGGGCCGCGGAGCTTGGACTTCGCTTCTTTTGTTGGTGTTTTTCTTTTCTTTCATCAGCCCCTTTTGGGGGTTTTATCGCAAAGAGACAGATCCATCCGAAGGATATTTATGGTGTTCGCAGTTGGTTCGGACATGTGTCACTGCTTGCAATCTGGTATATATTATTTTCCAGGGGACCGGAGCAAATGGAAGATGCGTGGGGTTGTCGGGTAATATTGAACAAAACCTCATGATCAGGGGAGCGGTTCCGTGAAGATTTGTGGACGCCTTTGTATGGTCCATTGGGGAGCGGAGTTCGAAGCCATGTTTCTGGCATGCTAGGAGAGTAATGTTGTTCTTAAACCTCATTTCCGTCCGAAAGCATGGAAAGGAGGGTACTCATCATGGACCTTTCCGAAACCATTTGTCTTCTTGCGCAAGGAGCGGAACTTTTCCCTGCCCAAAGTGGTGATTCCATTGGTCCCTTACAAACCCCACCTACAAAAAAATGATCAGCTCCTGCATTGCTCCGTCGGGGCTTTGCTTTCGCCGGAGGGTCGCCATGTCCTTGACCTCTTTTGGTGGTTTGTGCGCTCGGTGTCCAAATAATGCCGTGAGTATATATCGCCCAATCTGTCAGGTCCCTGAAAGGACACGAGGGTATGGATTTTAGCAGGGGACTCAATTTAGTTACAGCAGATTTCGGTGGGGATTCATGTCCACCAAACTTTTTTGAGGTGGACTTTTTCCCCATTTTTCCAGACGGCCTTTGCAAGTGACTAAACTGTTTTCAAGGGTATGAAAGGGAGCACATACCCTTACCGGCCGGGTTGAAAACAACAACATGCTGGGTTCTGAGCTCGGCAGTTTGAAATCCTGAAACCTGTGGGGCCTTTGGATTTTCGAACGCGTAGAGGTATTCGTAGCTGTGGATGAAGGTGCGAATCTGCGGAGCTCTTTTTGCAGGCATTTTAGGATCACTGGCTCCAGTGCTGGACGCTGGCCCATTCTGTGCGCCACAGAATGGCGGGCCACCGGGTTCCTTTCAATTCCTTGCAAACCGCCTTGAAACAGGACACCCTCAAAGCTTTACCCACATGGGCACTTCGACCGAATCTAAGGTGGCGCATCTTGGGCTAAGTCCTGAGCGGTTTGCCTTATGTGTGCCTCGTTAGGCGAAGACTCGCAGCACCCTTGTCTTATTTTTTGGGGAAGTTTCACGAAATGGGAAACTAAGCGGAGATCAAGTTTGTTTAGGCCTGAAGACTCGCCCGCAACTTAAACTTATGAACCCCCTGGGTGAGAAGCTGGACAGCCAATGAGAAGCGAAAAGTACATCAGCCTATTGGCGAGCTCACTTATTGTAAAGCAACTAAAATGAGCACATCATGATGAGTCTACAGAGGGGTCGCTGATTTCATTGCCGATAAATTGGTTCCTTGGCCCAATTCCTTTTGAGGATGTCCCCCTTTTCGGAGCCTGAACCAAGGCCCCAAGACCCTTCGGGGTTGGATTGCTTTCTTTGGGATCTCACCACCCAAAGAGAAGCGGTCCTTTTGGATGTCTTTCATGTTGTTTTGAGTTGGATCCCCCTTGGATCACCTGTCGGATGGAGAGAGCGTGAGGCCAAGCGGCATCCAGCCGGCCCACAGGCACGCAACACGCGCGTGTGGGTCTGGGTGTGGGTGTGGGTGTGTGTGTGTGTGTGTGTGTGTGTGTGGGTGTGTGTGCGTTTGCGTTGGCGTTGGCGTTGTCGTTGGCGTTGGCGTTGGCGTTGGCTTTCGCGTTCGCGTTCGCGTTCGCGGTTGCGGTTGCGTTTTCGTTTGTGTCTGCTTTTGCGTTTGCGTTCGCGTTCGTGTTCGTGTTTGTGTTTGTGTTTGTGTGTGTGTGCTTTCCTTTCGTTTTAAGAGCACCCATTTGGTCGGTTTGCTGGTTGTTTTTTTGGTGTGCTTGTTTGTAGGTGTCTGGTGCTTGAGTTGACATCATCGAGGTTGATTCAAAGACAGCTTTGTCCATCTATGATAAGAAGCCTTTCTGTCAGCGAGGCGGCCCCAGGTTTTCCCGTAATCGAAGCTTACTCTGTGATTCCTCCTACCTATTTAGTAGGAAAACAAGGGAACCCTCCCCCAAAACAGTACCGCCAGCATCCCCCAACCACTGCTTTTTTCCCATGTCCAAAATCAGAAGAACTGCCCAAGAGAAGTGATTGGGACCACTCGAATCAATCGAATCCGCGCGCAGGTGCCGTCGGATTCGGCTCAGTGGCGGCGGCTGTATTCCTCGAATTCCCACCCGCCGGGGAGCCCAACGTGGCCTTTACAGGCCTGCAAGCTGCCATGCTAACCTCGGATTCATAGCCCCCTTCTTGATTGAGGGCGCATGCCCTTGGGGGAATCCTTTACGTTTGTGGGCACCCCCTCTAGTAGAATGTTTTTATTTTACTTTGTCAAAATCAATCTGGAGTTAGTACCAAGACACGCCAACCTAGGCAGTTGGCCTTAAGGCTGGGCGCCCAGAATTCAGGAACTGCCGTGGTGCCTCCATGTTCGAGAGCTGATTCACTTTAGTTAATCCGGGCTTCAACATTAGTGCTGGGTTCAGATGGTGTTCAGCCCCTTCAAACAGATCATATTCACGGCCTCGCTTCTTAGATTGTATGAAACAGACATGCTTTCCAGCTTTGAGTGTTTGACCAATGAGCCTTCTTGCAACAGAATACTGAGTTCCCGAATAGCCCACAACGTCCACTTTATCGCAGAAATTAAAGGGGGTGGGTGACTCTTACTTTTTCCTAGTATTGTGTTTTCCTTGTTTTTTTGATAGGCGAATAGGTTGGGACAGGGTGTTTCGCCCTCAATGGGGTGCGCTCATCTTGTTTTGCCATACCTTGCCGTTTCGGCTTTTTTCCTTCTTCAGGCATGTCCAATGATTGTCCAATGGATTGCCATATTTTAGCAATGTTTTTTCCATGTTCCCTTTTGGCCCTGGGTTGCCTTCATGTTCCCTTTGGAATCTTTGCGGTCGAAGTCTGACCCAGAGATTTGTCGAAGGGAGGTTCCGCTGTAAATCGGCCCTAATGGTGAGCTGACTCTGGGGTAACACGAGCTTGATGTAGGTCCTTTGCTTGGGGATCTGGATCCCTTCTTCAGGTTCTCTCAGGTTATTCAGGTTTAGGTGGTATTGTAAAATGCACACATGATTGTTCCCCCAGAAACCAACTTCCTTGAGGTACTTTTGTGCAGCCCTTCCACCCAGGTGCCAAGGGCTCTGAGCTTGGTTTCTTTTGAATGCCTGGTTGGGGTCCCGAGATTGCCCTTAGGGAACCAAAAGCCACATTTTAGGTCCGCGCCCAGCCTCTGCCTGCGTTTCTCCTGGTGTTTTCCTATCCCCCCCAACAGCTGAAAGCTTTGTCTCTGCCCAGACAAGCTCCGGAGTGGCGGTTCGGAGCGGCGGGTTCCAGGGGTTGCCAAGTTGGGGATACCACCCGGGCTTGTTTGTTGCGAGGAATGTGCTGGGCAACTACGACAACGTGCAGTACCACGTGGAGATAGAGGCGTGCAAGAGAGACGTTCGCAACATGCAGGCTCTGAGCCCCATCAAGCCGCAAGGAGTGGCAATTGCCAGAAGGAGACTGGCAGAATCAACCATCAGGGTCCCCTACCCTAAACACTAAAACCTGAGCCCAACATAAGGGCATACTCCGCCCCCCGCAAAGCCCCGCCTTCGCGCGGCCAGATCGGGGATACCTGTCCGGGTCCGCGGCAGCAGTTCCAGGCGCGGTCTCGGGGGCGGGGGCGAAACCACGTGAAAAGGGAGCAGGTCATGGTAGATTCAAACCTTGTCCTGCATAAAATGAAGCCAAAATGGTGGGTTTTGCTGCAAATTTAAGCCCAAACAGGGGTGCTATGGCAGCTCTTCATGACGAGCACCCCAAACGAGTCCTTTACAGGCACCTTGAAGAACGCGCCACCCAGAAGGGAAATGGGCCCCTTAGCTACCCTGGTCACTGGGTGGCAGGTGGTGCCGGACACTGGCAGTTCAGACTTGTGGATTCCAGCCCGGCGCCCAGTCTGACAGGAATCCATGCCAACCATTCCCTTTTTGAGGACGGTGGTTGGTCTAAAGCAAATTGAACAGAAATTATCCATTTTGCAGGATTCCGATCCCTACTTTGAGAAACCCATGTTGTTTCGGTCTATGTGGCAAACAATGGAAGATAAACACACAAATCACACAAACCGTTTTGGTTAGGGAACAAAAAAGACGCTTGTCCAATTTCTCGAGCTTGCTGTTGTGAGGCAAGCCCTCCGAAACAAGACGCGGAAGCTCCCGGACTCACCGGGGCGCGTCCCAGAAAGTTGATGCCTTCCTGCATTGGGGCCCATGGGTCTTCATGGCGTCAAGAGCTTAGGTCATAAAATCTTCCTTTGGGACCCGCACGGTTGAACACCTGCCGGTTGCGAGGGTCGTGCTTTCGGGTGGCCGAGCAGCGGCCTAGATCCCGCCGGAGCCAATTGACTCGCTTATCCCCCGAGAAGATCCCAGATATTCCGACATTCATTAGGCAATAAGTTATCTATGTATATGTAGCACTGTGTAGGTTTGTGGATGTTTTTTTTTAGCGGTGGTGGCTTTCCTTTTCGTTTGTCTTTAAAGCCACAACAAAAAACACATACCCTCAAACAAGCACACCCATATTTACATATGCATATATTTACCAACATTTGGCCCAGCTTGGGAAATGTGATTCAATATTCCCAACCTGCTGTGTTTGGGAATAGGTAGGCGTCAGCAACAAGCAGGTGGATTCACAAAAACAAGCTGGGAAGATGTGCCGTACGCTTCGTACTGACAGAAAGGGACAAAGCAATATGCCGCCCGCTTGGCTGAGATCTCTTTTCAAAACATTTCACAGTGTACCATCGTTAAAGTAGTTGGCAGAACCAAACATCTTGTCGCGGGGGGGAGGCTGAGGTAGTAAGGCTCAAGGACTGCAGTTGCTTTCTTCACCCGAATTGTGACATGTTGCTACGCATCACCCACGCCAGTGCAAAGTGAGTTGCTATCAAAGGCTCTGCTTTGAATGGGAAACCGCCCGCATTAACAAGACCAGGGGATGAACCCAATTGACCGCCTATTTTGACCGTAGCTTATTTGGGTGTATTTGAGGCTCCATGCCAGGTGTCGTGAAGAGGCCGTCTGCAGGAAATTATAAGGGAAGCTTGGCATAAGTTCAGCACACAAACACACCAAAAAGCAGCGTTTTTGAGCTAACTTCCTGTACAATTTCCTGCAGGGGTTTGCAGTTCAGGGTGAGCCGATCGATTTTCGCGGCCCTTAGGCCGTGAACTGTTCCCGCTGCAAGACGGGCACGCGGAAGCTGCTTGCACGCACCGAAGCCACACAACGCACCAGGATTCATTGAATGTCCCACAAGCCGGGGAATTTGCGCTAAATGCCCGGCAAACAGGCGGGCCTTTTTGACTCGGTACACGCCCAACAAAAGGCAGGAGTCACTAAAAGTCCGGCCAAAAGGGAGGGGCACGAAATGAAGCCAACAAAAAGGCAGGAGGACTCAGTAAATGTCGGACAAGCAGAGGGACTCATTAAGATTTTCCCCACACCGGGCGACTCTCTAAGTATTTTGGCGGAAGACCAAAAACTAGGACCGCTTTTGGTTGAGTTGCGCGTGGGTTCTTGCTGTGTCCCCAATGACAGTGTGTTTTGGGTACCTCACCTGGGTTTAAAGATGCAGATGTGCAATGGCCAAGTGACTTGCGGGAGGGACGCGGATCCCACTGAGCTCTGAAGGAACCCAAGAGTTTGACCCCCATGCAGCATTTGTTGCCAAGCCAGGGGGCCTGTGTTGGATTTATTTATTTTTTACTGTTATGAATCCTGTGACTGGGGTGCTCCCTGTAGAACAGGACCCTATCAAAAGGTTGGATTACGAGGGAGCCTTTGCCATTTTCCTGCACCCAATGAATGCTCTGCGATTGTTTCCCACACAGCTAGCCAGCCAGCTAGCCCAGCCAGCCAGCTGGCCAACCAAACACACAGCAGGGGGCACTGAATGGCACTGAATGGCATGAACCATCAATAAGTCAACGTTTGTCAGGCTCCCCACTTCGTTTTTCAGGCGGTCCTTTATGTCATTGAAGAGTTCATGTGGCGAGCACAATAGCAGTGTAGGTGCCACAAGTAAAAAGCAGGAAATCACATAAAGAAACTTGGAAAAAAAGGAAACCAAAGGAAAACACGCGAAGACATGCTCTACATATGGGAAGGAAAGTCTCGGATGAAGACCAGACCATGTTGGAACCTCGGCACCTAGTTCTTTAAGGCGGGCGACCCTTGAAAACCTGGCAGTGGAATCTTGGGATAGATAGCTCCGGCTGGCTTTGTGGATGGCTTGACATTGATCTGTGGCCGTTGGCTCAAGGAAGCAATGAAAGAGACTGCAAAGTCTCGCGTGTGGAAGGTACCTTTGGAAAATGCGGGCGCGGCAGAAACTCGCGCAGTGATCAAGAAGATAAAGACAAGGCTGTCTGCACGTCAGAGCGCAGTGTGTGGGGCGACAGTGACGCAAAGCCATGTGCCGCCCGACTCGAGACTTACCATACTTTGTCATCATTTTTGGCAACGCAAGTTAAGCCAGCCAGGCTTCGCAGACGTGGGCACTGAGGTGGTTTTCAAGCCCAGCAATTGAGCGAGTTTTTGTTTTCACGGGCTGTTCGCATGTAAATGTTCACATTCTAACAGTTGAGGATGCTGTACTACTACCACGACTCTACACTGGCCAGCGCTAGGCACTTCTGCTTGCGGGAGCTGAGTGGCTGCGTGTGGTGGCTGAACCCAGCTGCAGTTGCAGCGGAGGACAGCGGCGAGCCAGAGATGGAAAGAGAAAAGGCTGCTGGGCAACAGGCTGCAAGCAACAAGGTCGCGCCGTGGCTGCAAGAGCGCGGTGGCTAAATTGATTGCTTCTTTGAATGCGCAACAGGCGCAGGGTATGAGTTGTTTTTCGACGTAGCTCTGCTGTGATGGAATAAATTTCTGTACATAAAAGTCTTCCCAATGTTGGTTCTACCCAGGGGTTCGGCGGGCCATTTTCGCGTTGCTTCAACGCCTTTCAGTTCCAGGGGTGAATGTGGCAGGCACATGGCAGTCTTTAAGACAGGTTAGCCCCAATCATGCTTGCAGCTTTTAGCGGGCAGTGCCACAGAAGCTTTGTGATTATCACTTATCTAAGCATGCGCTCAGAAAGCTTGCGGCGACAATCAGCGACGCGATCGAGAGGAAGCTGATTCTGAGAATGCTGCGCAGCTGAAGGCAGCCGGCGGGGATGCAAGCTGCTTTTGAGAGTCAACTGGACATAGTCGGCAGGTGTGCGTGTTAGTAGGCGCATGCAAACATATCACGCGCAGCGCACTCGGACGTAGCTTTGCATTCTGTGGCTTGCTGCAACTTCCAGTGGAGCATTTATAGTTACTTGCATGCTAGTTGGTTTCTGGCTTTGACAGCTGATGAGCTTGAGTTCACATCGCAGCTAGCGCGCGTTTCCTACGTCGGAGGCAACCGTTACAGCTCTAACTTACCTGCTGCTTCGGCAGGCGCCGCCAGAAAGGCGCCGGAAGAGATCGCCGTGCTCTGGGCAGCCGCGCGCAAAGGCCATGGTGGCCCGGGCTGACGTGGCTTGACATGTCATGGAGGGGACTTGCTGCTATAAGATGTAAGCTGTGAATTTTCTACATATGCTTGCATGCCATCGTGCTTAAGTGGATGCAGCGGTGGTTGTTGGACTGGCTCCGCCGAAGCGGTGGTGCGTGGCAGTGCTGGTGAATTTTCGTTTTCTTTCTGTATAGGGCAAGCGTGTGTCTTGTCACGAAATCGGCTATTCGGTTTTGCTTTTGAGGGTTGTTTTGCTACTGCGGCACCAAGGACTTTACATGTAGACCGCGTCACATGCTATATTTTTGCCGGACGGCCAGTGTGCGGCCAGCGTGATGGTGGTCACTGATGTAGCAGACGCAGGTGTTGTGTGACCTTTTCTTGCTTAAGCAGCTGCCAAAGCATTTTTTCGTCACTTCAAAACTTTGGTACCTCATTGCGCGCGAAGTCAAATGTAGACTCGGCTTGGCTTTCAGGCGAGACAGCTCAAGCTCGGCCAGCGGAGTCTGGCAGGCGTTGCCGATGATGAGCTTTGCGAGGCTGACACTGGGGTGGCTTGGTGTAAACTTGTTTTGCAGTGTTATGGCAAAGGGCTTTGCGTCATTCACGGTATGTTTGCGAGGGAAGGAACGCTGCATCTATGAGTTTCTTTTTTGGACAAACCATGCCGAGCTCGGTGGTCGGTTCTGGTATCTCGTGAAAGCAGGGCACGAGCAGCCAAAGTTTAGGGCGTAATGTTGGACCCTCTTTAGTATAGGGGCCCCCCGCCTCCCCCCTTTTCCGGAACAGTCTGAACAGTCAGGGGGGGTTCTCTTTAAGGGTCCCCCCTGACTTTTGTGCTTTGCCAATACATAGTTGAGTATTGCCAATACATAGTTTAGTATTGCCAAAGCTTTTGGGAGCTTTCTCCAATTCTAAGTTTAGCATTGGCAAGACTAAACTATGTATTGGCAGAGCTTTTTGAGGCCTTAAGGGACTTGAGGATTTTGAGGAGCAGAGCCAATACATAGTTTGGTTTAGTATTGCCAACACATTTTTTTGTGGGCTGGGCCCCAGGGCTTGGTATTAAAGTGAACCCCCTGAACAGTGGCCACTAAAGAGAATCAGGGGAGCTTGTGTACCACCCATCAGGATGGTTGTTTGGGGCTTGGTTTTGGAAAGATTTAAGTAAAGAAACTTGATAGTTGGGAGCCTGGAAAGTTTCTGGGTTTCAGGGTCTGGGTTTTTGGCCAGGTGTTGGATCTGATTTTTTTGGGGATTTTATGTTTTGCATTAAACCGAACCCCCTAAACAGTGGTGGGTGTCTGTTTAAGGGGATTTTTTTTGCTTTAAAGCGTCCCCGGGCACAAAACCGGGTCCAACATTAAAGGTCAGAGAACACACGGACTCAGTTGAAGTTCGCGCAATGTCAGGAGCATCTTTGTTTGGCGGCGTCATTCTTGGCAGTTTGCCTTTGTTTAGGCACGGTTTCGTTATCAGCGGGCTGCGCTAACCGTTTGTCACATCTTTTGCGGACTTCCAAGGGGCTGGTGTGTTGGGAAGGACACTCTGCAGCAGCCAAGCAGGGTCCAACTTCAATGAATTCCTGGATTTGTGGTAACGTTGCATTTCTGCCCGGACGGCACCGGCCTCTCTAGCAAGGATGAGCAGTCCACGCCTTGCGCTGCTGCTCTTGTTGCCACAGGTGTTGATGAGGACCGAACTTGGCTGAGCTGTCTCCTTTTGATTTCTTCGGGCACGTCGTTATTATTGGGGTGCCGTGGTTGAGCCGGTCACTGCATGCCTCGCGGGTTTTTTCCAGCTTGTTTCACAGCCACCCCCGTACCTACACCGGCTGTCAGCACAGGTTAGCTTACCCATCGTTCGATCAAATAGCTTGGGAAGTTTGGGAAAGAGTGCTTCACAAGTTGTTTTTGGGGTGCGGATATGGCATAGGATCTCCGAGAACCACTGTGCTATTAGTTACTGTTGCTACTATTGTTTTTGTTTTAGTCGTTGCCAGCCTCTAGTACTGCCAATGGCAAATGTCAGATTAGTGGCAGCCTGTAGAGGATTTGATTGAAGATTGCCAATGCTTCATGTTGGGTTGCAGGACTTAGCTCGGCTCTGCTAGTGGCAGTTTCGCGTCGTCTGGTTTTCGAGGACCAAGCTATGACCCCTCACACTTAGTTTTCAGCATGCCTCTTCAGGAAAGCTTTGGACTAAGAAACTGTGCTAAGTAAAACGCTAAGAGTGATCTGTGGGCTTTCTTGTGCCCGCTTTCTTGTGGCACACTAAAGATGATGCCCAGGCAGCGGGTTTATACCAGGTAGGGCCGGCGAAGCCGGTGGGCGGAAGTTTCTAAAGCGAGAAGAGTGCCTATAGGAAGAGCGTGACTTGTTTTTTTTGGTTGCGCTCTTTCTTTGTCTCTTTCTTTGTCTTTATTTCTTTCTTTCTCTCTTTCTCTCTTGCTTTCTCTCTTGATTTATTTATGTCTGTCTTTATTTCGTTCTTGCTTTCTTTCTCTTTATTTATTTATTCTTTCTATATTTCTTTCGTTCCTTCTTTTTATTTCTTCATTCTTTCTAAATTCCTTTCTTTCTTTATCTTTATCTTTCTCTCTTTCTTTGTTTCTCTTTATTTATTATGTTTTTTTCATTCTTTCTTTCTTTCTATATTTTTTCTCTTTCTCATTCTTTCTTTCTTTATTTTTTCTTGCTTTCTTTCTCTTT